GTGATTGATTGAGATTTAATTTTCTTGAGCTCAATTGATGAAATGCAAGAGAAGTGCAAAAGAGATGCAAGTTAAAGTGCTTTTTAGCCAAGTTGAGTTGTATGTATTTACAACAGTTAAATCATTAATAATACTTTTTAAATCATGAGTGATACTGAATTTATTATAATACTGCGGGATAAATTAAAGTGAATTAGGGAAAATATCATCATTGAATTAAAGTTATAAACCGTACTACATGTTTTTCATGAAAAGGTTGCAAGTAGTGAGGTTAGTTTTAAGTAGTGAGGTTGCTTAACAAGTTAAACTTGGAAGATTCCTCTCTTTGATGGCTACTTTCACTTGGCACCATTTCTCTCTTTAACCCTCAATGATGGTGAAACATGATAGAAGATGTCCCCCCTTTGAAAAAAATAGGATTAAAATTGAAAGCCAATATTGTTCCAAACTTTATTTATTTTTTAATTAATTTAATTTTTGTGTGGCTCTTATTTGGAGTTTTACTTTTTAGGAGATAGATTCAACTTCCTTTTCACCCCTCTAATTAATGCATATTCATATTCAGCCAATCTATGCATATGGCCTGCAAAAATTCTTCAAGTTCAAAATATTTTGCATAGCCCAATTAGGACCACTTTAGTTAGAATTTCAATATTTCCAAACACACTTTTGGCTGCCTCTTTGTCATTGCCTTTTCAACTTGGGGAGGAACTTGATTTTCAACTGAGTTGTCTTTGGTATATTTCACTGTCATCTTACCTGGTTTTTTTCTCATTATCCACTGCATTTGGTATGGTCACATCTCTATCTATTCAATTTGGATTACACAATGTTGTATAAGCTAGCTCTCATGGTTTTGCTTATATATAGCTCTTTTTTCTTTTTTTTTTTTTTTTAAAGCAAAGCGAGTATTATTAACAGCGAATAAGCCGATGGGATGCAAAACCCCGAAGATCATACAGACAAACAAGCTTGACCCTTACAGGTAAAGAATTAAAAGAGCAAAAAATAGAGGGGAGCCACAGATGAGACCCTCCGAAGCAAGAGCATCAGCCACCTGGTTTTGCTTATATAGCTCTTGTATGTATAGTTGTATGAGCTCTTTAAAACTTAAGGTGACGGAATAATAATACATGCACTTGGAGGTAGTAAATGTAACCAATCAAATTAAAGAAGAGGGAGGCAAGATACATACATACATACATATATATATATATATATATATATATATATATATATATATATATATATATATATATAGGGATGCAAGTTATTAAGGTGTCTGTACGGGCTTAGCTCATTGGTTCAGTAGGCAATATTTGGAAAAAGAGATCAATGTTTAATTTGAACTTCGACAGTGGCAGTGTAGGGACTATGCCCAAAATGGACGGATCCCGGCCTTGTGCACCGACATTTGGCCATGCCATTGAGTCACCGTGATTTACATACATCCTCCCAAATACTCTGTCGGGCTGGGGTGTGGGGGGTTCCCTTAGGGTTGGGGATTCATCATTTTGGGAGAAGCTTAAAATAGGGATATTGTGGCTTTGATGTTAGGGGGAGTTACAATTGTCAAAGAAAATATTATATTAAGGAGTCCAAGTATCAGCTACAGAGGTATCGGAGACTCACTTCCAACTATTTCTCTCCTCCCTTTCTCTGTGGCCATGATAGAAATATACACATATTCTTTGTATATGTACTCTCATAAATAACATATTGCAAATTTTGACTTGGCTTTGTCCAAAAAAAAATCAATGATTTTTATTATTTTACATATAACATATGATGAAGTATGTGAATTTTCATCGTTACACAGTATTGAGTATTTAGTTTAACAAAACTCAATACAATATTTTGAATATCAAACAAGTCAGAATATATACAGCATATACGATATGACACTCAAAATCATATGCTTCTCTAGCACGTGTGACCAACATCAATCCATCATTAATGGTTGTAATTAATTAAGCAAATTAATGGTGATTATTAGGTGGAGTAATTAGTAAATGATGGTGCCATGATTGATTCACATGCATGCATATATATATATATATATATATATATATATATATATATATATATATATATATATATATATATATATATATATATATATATATATATATATATATATATATATATATATATATATATATATATACACACACACATCAATATCTATCTATGTCTGCTGACTGCTAGTGTGAATGAAATTAATGAAAAGAAGTTGATGAAGTCACAGTCCAAAATTAAGATATAGGCTAATAAAAGCAAAAGAAAGACACTAACTAAGCCAAAGCTAGGGGATTGAATGCCTTAAAGTGGGAGTCAACAATGTCCAAAGAAGTGTTAACATCAAGATAATGAAGTTTGAGGTTTGTCTAACTTTTGACAATTATGTGGTTGTGCACATATGATTAAACCACCCACCGACCTCCTATTTGTCCATTGAGGAGTACTTATGTCAGGTTATTTTCTATGTACTAAGTGCCACAGTTTTGTTTGTTTTTCATTCCCATTCCCCTTCCCCTACGCAACCTATGTACAAAGGGGATAGGCATGCAAGTGGACCAAAACTTCAACAAGCTAAGCAACCTAGCTAAGTAGAAAACACTAGTTTTGCAACTTAAGACCTAAAGGGCATGTTGAATTGGTACACAAAATTTTAGCCCAATGGGTAACGTCACACTCGTCGGTGAATCTTCACCAATTCCTAGGTGAATATTGAGTTAACTTGAAATTACAATTCAACGGCTAAGTTATATTAATGCTTATGCTCTTAAAGTGATAGAATCTTGAAAAAAAATGGTGGGGGAAGAAGAACATATCTTTGAAAAGCTCGAATGGCATGGTTTGTATAAAAGAGTCAAGATTCTTTGTATGCTGTTATTTCAATTTTGTATGTTATGAGATAGAATTTGCCTAATTGAGCCAACTACTAACGGTTTAGATCGGGTCCAATTTATAGTATTATGTAGTAATTATTATGTGTGTCATTGTCTTAAACTTTTAACTGTATAAGTTACTGGCATGAAGGGTATATCATGTACATATATGAGCTGGATACGACTATATAAACTTATGAAACCAAATTAAAAGTAATTTTTCAAATGTCGGTTAAGATACATAGAAATATTTATGTGGTGTTTTGGATCTATTTGAAAAATGCTTCTCAAAAAAAAAAAAAAAAAAAAAAAAAAAAAGCGTTTGTTTTAATTGGTTTATCTAAATTGAACCGTTGTACAGCTATACATTATTGACTGGACAGCATAAAAATGAGGTGTTCATATGACTTGTGTGACTGGGCATTAATTTTAATTTATGAGATGAGTGGGGCAGAGGGTTGGACTTTTGGAATGCAAACAACACCAATTAGTTGCAACTATATTTGCTTTTAGTTTATAAGGATTCACAGTGAAATTCATCTCTTAGATTCTTCCCTATGATTGTGGTAGATTGCATTCACAAATTAAACTGTGTAAATGCTGTGTTTCACACAATTTTTTGTTAGCATATGGCTATTTTATTATATTTGCATAAAAGTGTCTCAACAAGTTAAAATCTCTCAATTGTCCCAAATGCTATCAGTTTGATTTCTCGATTATCTTATCAATAAGTTCACTCATTAGGATTTTGTTTGGTATGTTAGAATTTCACATAGCGCCCAATTTCCTTCCATAACATAACCCATATGCTTTGTTGGTATCAATTGACTTGCTAATTTCATATGATTTTTATCACTTCAAATCCTAAGGAGGGATTAAATGTAATTGAAATTAGATGAAATTAGCAAGGCAATTGATGCTAACAAGGTATATGGGTTGAATAATGGAGGAAATTCCGGAGATGGGTGTGAAATTTCAAGCATTAAGTTCCTAAAAGAGAAGAAAGTTTAATAACAAGGTAACCATGAGACCAAATAGACAACTTTTGAAACTATTGTCCTTAATTGAACAAAAAGTATAGGGATTAAATTGAACAAAATTAAAGTAGAATGACTAAATTGAACAAAACACTATAGTATAGGGACCTCATAGATACTTTATTAAATTTTTAAAATTTAACAATGAAAAACAAGTACATAAAAGTCAACAATTGAGAGACCAAATATGCAATTTTCTATTGATCAAGTGAGTAAGGGTGTGGTTGAGTGGAAAAGACTCATCCATCCTTAACCAAAGGTCAAGGGTTCAATCATTGGTTTTGGGTATGGAGCAACCTTGAATCTCTAGGCCAATTGTCCCACCCATACAATCTAACAAGGGAATTAGTCACTGTGTCCGACGGTGAAAACCCTAGGTATACCAAAAAAAAAAAAAAAAAAATTATTGATCAAGTGAAATAATCCCCTCCCACCCCCACCCCCCAACCCCAACTTGTAAGTGAAAAAATATAAAGTGTTACTGTCAGGAACTTTTGTTAATAAGATTCCTCCCAAAAAAAAAAAAAAAAAAAAAAAAAGATCCCTTGGTAATTAAGAGATAAACTTTGTGACTCAAAGCTCCATTGTTGCACCACTTTATCCTTGCAAGTTAGCAAACAAATTGAACTTGTTAGGCGGCTTGTCCTGGGTAGGTACAGACCACTTCCATTCATGCTTTCTCCCTTTTTGGTGTCACATCCTCTACACAAACAAAAACATTACTCACAGCTAGCTAGGATTTATTTCATTTCCAAACTCCACTCATCTTTCCATGCCCAATTTCTCACTATTAGTACTTTAATATTATTGTTTTTTGGAATACTTACAAGTTTTGTTGAGATCTTGATTATGGTTTTGACAATTTGGATGGGATCACATGAAATAAAAAAGACATAAATAAAGTATCAAGTGGGAAGGAGAGGTCTAAGTCGCTTAAGTATGAGGTCAGAAGTTTGAATCCACATTTAAACAAAAATGCCTTTGGGAGAACTGTCCCCGACCAAGGCTGTAGGATATGGTTTATGGTTTATATAGCATCCTCGATCATATAAGCTAATTTTTTTTTTTTTTGACCACATGTTTCCTTAACTAGTCAACTAAAAAAAACATGTTCGTACCGGTAGGATCTCAAGGATGACAAAACACTCCCTTGTAAGTTTTAAAAGGTAGCTGCATTTCCAAGGCTTGAATTTGAAACCTTTGGTTAAGCTGGAGACCCACACTATCCCATCCACACACCCCGTGGGTATATATGCTAAGCTATTTCCAATAGGGAATAAAAATACTAGGAACGAATTTCAGGCCAACACATAAAACAAAATTCACAAGGAAGGACAGTTACTGGCCTGGTAGGAGGAAGGAAAAGGTATGTATGCTTCAATTTCCACATCTATTTTAGAAATGGCACCTTTCAAACAAGTTCTCAAGTTTCCCCAATTTTTGAAGAAGCATCAAGGCATAGTGTGCATCATTGCCTGCCTGCATAGAAAAATATATTAATTTAGGTGGTTTGAGCTGTTTTAAGATTACAATTGCACTTGATTAATGTACACTAAGTAGCAATTATGGCAACAATCCATATAATGGACCGACTACATATCTAAGCAAAGACAGAGAGAAAATGCAAAGTGCACTTTTCACCATCAAGTATCATTACTTTCAGCAATTAAAAATTGCCGTACCAGTTTGCAGCATGCATTATTATCCAGAATAGTAAAAGGTAGTAATAACAGGGATGAGGATGTGATGCATGAAGCACAATTAACTGCATGAGTAAATCATCATGCCTCGTTTGGTGTGGACCATTCTCCAGTTACTGCCAGCTAATGACCTCAATATGTGAAGCTATAATAGCATCCATCTTGGCGGCTTTCTTCTTCTGGAACAGGAACTATGACTAGGTTCATCCCTAGAGAAGACTTGAATAACATGAGAGAAGGGAAAATAAATGTTAATATCATGTTCGATAGAGTATGAATTAAAGGAGAAAAATGAAAACCATCTTGGTGACTTGCATACGAACAAGGTCAACCAAATCATGAAAACAAAATCCCAGCATCTGCTAGAGCTAGATCTGCACATGAAGATCACCTCCGAGAAAATTGAGCATTGCTATGTATAAAGGTAGTATAGGCTAGTAGTTTACAATTCAAGCCAATTTCCTACTTGTAAGAAAATTGAGCATTGATATGTATAAAGGTAGTATAGGCTAGTAGTTTACAATTCAAGCCAATTTCCTACTTGTAAAGGAAGTAACCAGTAGCTACATAATAACTAATATGATGCATCAAATATTACAACTTACTTCCAGCAGATTCCAAAACCAAAGCAAAAATATCTACACTTCTCTTTCAGAATACTCAAGAATTCTAACACCTCCCAAAGCCTTAAGTAGCACTGAAAAACAGCTCCTTATCCTCTACACCAGACTATAAGAATCTTCAATCTCAGAAAGAAAATGAAGACCATTAGAAGCATTACAACAGAGAAAGGATACACAAGAATTCTGCAATAAGAGGACAGGAAAGCCTGTCCATAATCTTACCTGCCAATGGACAAGGGTGGCAAAAATTGTATTACTTGTATAACTAACGTTACAATTCTACTGGCCAGTATTACTATACATCATTGCTTTTGTACTCTCCCTTGGACCAAACCCATAGCAAAGGAGAACTGATTAGCTCCAGTTTGATTTTAGTTTAATTTTAATTTCTTATTACTGTTTTCTTTTTAGGGACAAATACACTCATACATATGCATTCATGATTTCAAGTTGCCTTCTTGCAGGTACTTTACAATTAAGTTCCTGAGCAGTAATTTGTGCCAGCTGGGGACAAGTTTTCTATTGCCCAAAGAGGTGTTAATAGTTTGATACTCTACTTACTGACTTTGACACAGTACATGTCAATATCTTAACAGGAAATGGCCATGAAGAAAGGATTTGGGAGAAGCAAAAACATGAGTGAACTTAGAACATGGAAGGTTAGCAGAAAATAAAAGATAATGAAAATTTGGATTTTTCTCCTCCACTTTCCAGATAGCAAGAAAACAGAGAAAGAGGATTTTAAAAAAATAAATAAATAAATAAAAAGACGACAAAACACTATTATTTCACATATCTTCCTCTACTTCTTTCTCCTATTGCTTTACCCAACCCCACATATAAGAGTTAACAATTAGGTATGCACAGATGTGCAGTCAGAGAAACATTCAGAAACACAGCAGGAATTCCATGAACTTCAGATTCTCTCGTCTCAAGTAAAGTCAGAATTAGAAAAGACAAAATAAATCAAATACTTACACTAAAACAACAAACTTAGTGCAGAGTATTTCCAAACTCTGCTTCAGCAGATTCAAAAGCTTTTTTCACTGCACCAGTGCTGAGTACTGCAAGCTCCAAAAAGAAATGCTAAAAAGTTAATGGTTAATAAATATTGTGACCAATTTTAGAGTAATTTAAATTTTAGATTTGAATAGTTCCACTCAAAAATTAGGTTGTTCTTTAAGGCAAACTAAATTGAGTAGAATTGGTAGCTAAATATATAGACACTGAAGAAGTACAGATATAGTTTCCTAAGCAGGAATTAGAGTAACCTTTTGCTCTTTCATGATTAGTATACCAGAATATATAGAAAACATGGTGACAGAATTTACTCAAACATTGATGTACTATAGCAAAATAATTTTCCCAAAAGAAAATAATTTATGCCATCTTTTCAGATGGAATGTATGATTAACACCAATAGCCCAGAATAATCTCTCATCTCTAGGATCACTAATTCACTATCGTGTTTAGAATACTGCAATTTTCCTCCCAAGTAAATCAAAATACTCATTAGTTAAGTAAAATCATTCATGCATCTTTTTGAACATTACATTCCAAATACTGCTGTAAATTAAATTATAGCCTTTAAAAGAAATGAATGACACAGCTAAACTGCATCAAATTACTTCATCACCCCTTATGAGAAATTAATGACACAGCTAATGAACACATTGTATGAAGTTCAGTAGGAGCTTAATCATGAATTTAAATAGTCATCAATGTTCAAAACCAGAAAAGAATTTATAGCTACTTCTGGCTCTCTAGAATTTATCTCATGTCTATATATTACATCTAATTTACTGTAGTTTGAGGACAGTTTCCACTTCCCAACTTGTGCAGGTGAGAGCATGCCATAATCCATTCAGTAATGTGTAACTGACTAACGGTAATAGTGTAATACTGTACCTTCCATATGGTAATGCATACCGGTAATAATGCACCTTCTTTTCGGGGAAAACTATCCAGTTTCATTTAATACCTTGGATTAGAAGGTGCCATTTGAGTGCATAACATATATAGTGAATAATCATGCTTATTTGTCACAAAGCTATACCTTTTAGATGATTATATTCATGTTAGTATCCTTTGACCCACCTTCAGCACCAATGGCACCTATATGTCAAGACTTAGGGTGTGTTTGGTTGGCAGGTTTAGCACTCAAGTATGGGTATGAAAGTGATTGTTATTGTTTGGTTGATTGGTTTTTAAAACATACTATGGGTTTGGAATACTCATTCCCTTATTTTATAAGGGTTTCATCCCATTATTCATCCTTAGCCTAATCATTCTCATTCCACCCTATTACCAAACATGCAAAATACTTTCACCAAAACCCATTACTATTACCAAGTATTTGATACTCATTCCGATTTCGATTCCCCTGTGCGAACCAAACACACCCTTAGTTATTTAGTTAGAATTTAGAAACAAACCAGAACTAGGGCATGGGCACTGTGGCTGTGGCTGCCCACTTTCCACTGCCACTCTTACACATGACTTCCACCCTTCTGGTGATCAGGTCAGTGTTTCCTTCAAAAGAGGAAAGAAGATTCTTGACACTCTTATGCCCTAGGTAGTTCTGTTTGTGCCTAATTTAGCACCACCCACCCACATTAAAAATTTCACAATATGGAACTTGTACAGAATACTTCAATTACTTAAACAATACTACACAGATTGTTACTGTATAATAGCAAACACTTTGGAAACCAGCCTTGGCTGAATCTTAAATGTTGCAATTTCTGAATAAGGATCCACACTGAAGAAGCCACGCAGATGACCATTATAGTATTCAATTAATGCAGATCAGGTTTAGGAATGAATAGTAATCCATATGATTGCAATAACAGGCGATGAAATTTTCTATAAAATTAACATATGATTGCATACATTATCGAGGCATCCTAGGCCAAGGTGCCTTGTGGCTTGTATCGAGGTGTCCTAGGCCGAGCTCGCTATGGACCTGGGCGTCTTGGACTGAGGTCAGACGTCTTGGGTTGAGCTGAGACGTCTTAGGCTGAGGTGAGACGTCTTAGGCCGAGGTGAGACGTCTTGGGCCGCTCCAACTTCTTGCTCCGCTCCCCTGGGTTGGTTTGCTCCAAGCATAATATATCCATCATGAGTTCCACACTCTTTGTTGGAGAAGTCGACAACGAAAGAGAGTAAATGTCCTGACTCGACGTCTATATGCAACGTGTCGAGCTCATATGGTCGAGCTCACCATGGCTGAGCCCATTGTGGCCGAGGTGCCTTATGCCGAAGCGTCTTGGGCCGAGGTTCGTTGTGCCGAGGCGAATTGGGCCGAATATTCGTTAATGAAGGAGAGTAAACACGAGTCGCACTCCATGGGTCTGAGCCCCACATGGCCGACCCCAACGTGGCCGACCCCAACCTCAAGGATTAGACTTGATAGCGGCTTGATTGGCGTCATCCCTTCTTTATCATATGGGTTCCGTCTTCCGCTCCACCCCTTTGTACTTTTCCTAACATGCCTCTCCCCCCGGAGGTAAGCACATTTTGTGTCTCTCCTCTGGGAGGTGGGCACATTTTATGTCTCCCCTCCGGGAGGTGGGCATATTTTATGTCTCCCCTCCGGGAGGTGGGCATATCTTATGGCCCCCTCCGGGAGGTGTGTCCTTTTGTACCTTGCTTCGATAAACATGCTTCCCCTCCCGGAGGTGGGCACATTTTATGTTTCCCCTCCGGGAGGTACTTCCTTTTGCCTTCGATAAACATGCTTCCCCTCCCGGAGGTGGGCACATTTTATGTCTCCCCTCTGAGAGGTGGGCACATTTCATGCTTTGCGTTGATAAACATGCTTCCGCTCCTGGAGGTGGGCACATTTTATGTCTCCCCTCCGGGAGGTACTTCCTATTGTCTTTACTTCGCTAAACATGCTTCCCCTCCCGGAGGTGGGCACATTTTATGTTTCCCCTCTAGGAGGTGGGCACATTGTTTTGACTTGGTGTTTTGAATGGACAATCAGCTCTCCCTTATTGATTCATTGTTTCTTTTTTTTTTCTTTTTTTTTTTCGCACAATGTCTTATGTTAGCCGCTTGAGCCTAGTCTTCCTGGACTAAGCCACCGGGCTCCTCCGTCGTGGTTGGTACGCGAGGTCGGACCTCGTGCCCCCTTAGGGTACGTTAGCCGCTTGAGCCTAGTCCTGCCGGACTAAGCCACCGGGCTTTTCCGTTGGGGTTGGTACGCGAGGTCGGACCTCGTGCCCCCTTAGGGTGCGCTACCCGCATGATCCAAGTCTTGCCGGGCTAAACCATCGGACTCTCCCGTCGGGGTTGGTACACGAGGTCAGACCTCGTGTCCCCTTAGGGTGCGCAAGCCGCTTGGGCCGAGTCCTGCCGGACTAAGCCACCGAGCTGTTTCGTCGGGGTTGGTACGCGAGGTCGGACCTCGTGCCCCTTAGGGTACGCTACCCGCATGAGCCACGTCCTGCCAGACTAAGCCATCGGACTCTCCCGTCGGGGTTGGTACGCAAGGTCGGACCTCGTGCCCCCTTAGGGTGCGCAAGCCGTTGGGTCGAGTCCTGCCGGACTAAGCCCTCGGACTCTCCCGTCGGGGTTGGTACGCGAGATCGGACCTCGTGCCCCCATAGGGTGCGCAAGTCGGTGGGCTGAGTCCTGCCGGACTAAGCCACCGAGCTCTTCCGTCGGGGTTGGTACGCGAGGTCGGACCTCGTGCCCCCTTAGGGTACGTTAGCCGCTTGAGCCTAGTCCTGCCGGACTAAGCCAACGGGCTCTTCCGTCGGGGTTGGTACGCGAGGTCGGACCTCGTGCCCCCTTAGGGTGCGCAAGCCGTTGGGCCGAGTCTTGCCGGACTAAGCCACTGAGCTCTTCCGTCGGGGTTGGTACGCGAGGGCGGACCTCGTGCCCCCTTAGGGTACGCTTGGGGAGGTCAGGTGAGTACTCGATTCTTACAACATCGTTGGAGGGGACGCTCCACCTCTTAAAACGTTGTAGGATGAGACGCCCCACCTCTTGGAACGTCATTGGAGAGGACGAACCACTTCTTGCAACAATTTTGGAGGGGATGCTCCACCTCTTAAAACATCGTTGGAGGAGACGTTCCACCTCTTGAAACATCTTTGGAGAGGACGAACCACCTCTTGAAACATCATTGGAGAGGACGGACCACCTCTTGCAACATCATTGGAGAGGACGGATCACCTCTTGCAACATCATTGGAGAGGACGGACCGCCTCTTGCAATATCTTTGGAGGGGACACTCCACCTCTTAAAACATCGTTGGAGGAGACGTTCCACCTCTTGAAACATCATTGGAGAGGACGGACCACCTCTTGCAACATCATTGGAGAGGACGGATCACCTCTTGCAACATCATTGGAGAGGACGGACCGCCTCTTGCAATATCTTTGGAGGGGACGCTCCACCTCTTAAAATATCATTGGAGGAGACGTTCCACCTCTTGAAACATCATTGGAGAGGACGGACCACCTCTTGCAATATCTTTGGAGGGGACGCTCCACCTCTTAAAACATCGTTGTAGGGGACGATCCACCTCTTAAAACATCCTTAGAGAGGACGGACCACGCGGTGGGCCGAGCAGGTCCCTTTGTGGATCTCCTCTATTACTGACCTCGCCTCGTTGGGGTACAAGCAATGTAGCAGGGTGTCATTGGAGGACCTCTTGTAGAGTATATCACGGGAGACCATGTAGGTTCTCCCCACCGGCTTGGCTGCGGCCTTGTCAAGGGGTAAGCAACCCATAACAGGTTCTTCCGTTAGGTAGTGAGCGGGGGCGTCCCCCCTGTACTACCGTTAGGGAAATGCCAAGGTCGGGGTCGGCGCGCACGACATCGACCATGAGTTAATAAGAACATATGTCAATATTTGAGCTCCCGGGGTTTGGGGAAGTCGGGTGCTCGACCTATCACGCCCCCTTGGGAGGGGTGGGGTAAATGTAGGCACCCCTCAAGAAACGTCGGGGCCAAGTATGAGGGCTCGGACACCTCCTTGGTGCCCCTCAACGGGGCGGGTCGACAAGGTGGTAGCTTGTTGTAGCGCGACCATCCCCTCCACGAGCTCGTTCATTCGCTTACGGAGCTGCTCGACCTCGTCACGATGGGTGCTTGGAGCTCGACCATTCATTTCTCCCGACCTCTCATCTCGGGAGGCCTACTCGCGTCGTGGCGGAGCTCGGGGCCAGCGGCTCGGCGACCTTCGGGGACATGATTCCTCCGCTTGTGGTGCGTTGGGGGTTGGCCTTGGGCCCAACCTATCACAGGTCGACACGCGTTTGCCCAGCCTCACCAAGGCGGGCCTAACATGGGTCGACCTCCCTCTATCACCCTCTCGATGGCGATCTTGGCGGATGTCACTCCCTCCCCGCGTTTCCGATGGCCGGGGTGAGTTGACCTCCTCTTCGGTTTGAGTGTTGAGTGCCCGGTGTAGCCGGGTGCTTGGACCGATGCGCCCCCTTGAGGGAGGTGGAGGCGGGGTCGGCGTCCTTTGTGTGGCCTCCGGACTGTCGTGCGAACCTCCTTGGGGACCCTCTGTGAGGTGAGCCAAAGTCCTAGAGGATTGCTAAAGGGTAACCGCCCCCTCCTGTAGCGGGGCAAGATTCAGAGGAGGGGCCACGGAAGCCGGCACCCCACCGCTGCGATGGTTGGTGAGGTGATCTTTCAAGTCCCCCCGACTTGGTGGAGGCGGCTGGTTGGAGGCTGGGGGCCCCGTAGGGGCCGTTCCCAGTTGCGGCGAGCCGGGTGCCACGGGAACCGTTGGTGTGGTCGAGAGTTGGATCTCGACCTTGTCATGGTAGCTGGTCGCGGTAGACCACTGGATATAGAACACGCTTGAGCTGGTACAGCAGCTCTCAACAAGAGCACCAATGATGGATTTAATTGACCCGGGGTAGACCCGAATCAATGAATCAGGATAAGAACGTGATATGAAATAAATAAATGTAACGCAAGGATATCGTAAGGTCGCGGGGACCATAGGTCGCGGGGACCGTAGGTCGCGGGGACCGTATATTGTATTAAGTATCGCTAATAAGCTATTACAAGGCTTGATTAGGACAATAGTATGTGTAAAATAGTGAATATGCCTTGTTAGGACAAGGAGGTGGGCTTTTATAGAAGCTAAACCCCCAAACCGTCTCCCCCTAAATCGGTGGGTAGTTGGATCTCCGAGTTGACCGCGCCCGGGTGTAGACCGGGTCCATGGGTGTGCCGAGCTCGACATGGCCGAGCTCACCATGGCCGAGCTCATAGGGCCGAGCTCGACATGGCCGAGCTCACCGTGGCCGAGCTCACCATGGCCGAGCTCGACATGGCCGAGCTCACCGTGGCCGAGCTCAACATGGTCGAGCTCACTTGGCCGAGCTCAACATGGCCGAGCTCACCTGGCCGAGCTCAACATGGTCGAGCTCACTTGGCCGAGCTCAACATGGCCGAGTTCACCTGGCCGAGCTCGGCATGGCCGAGTCTGCGCCTGGGGTTCAACCTCTGGGCCCCGGGTCCATTCCATACTTCATTGCTCTGCTTCCCGGGTCGGTTTGCTCCGATCATAATATATCCATTACATACAATCTTGGGGTTGTATTAAAGTGGTGAGTAGTCACTCCTTATTTTCCCCGCCATCCGTCTCCAGCTAGGGGTTTCTATGTGAATTTTGCTTTTGGAACAACCACAATTTGGTTTGAACCATTCAAGTTAAATAATATTTGCAATACTTACCCGACTTTCCCAAATGCCCCCCCAAAAAACCGGCTATTTTCACACCGCTTACTGTACCAGCGATTTCTTTTTGGCATCTCAAATATGATTGTTGCATGTTTGAACTTATCCATATTAGAATTCAATCAAACACTCAAATTTATTTGACTTATTGTGATTTCTAATTTAGGAGAGTTAGTAGAGATGTTTTCGCTCCTCCAATCATTCATTCAAATATATAAGAGCATCTTCATTGACTTTTTCTCTTGAGTTTTTAGGAGTAGTTTTTTTGCGAGGTAGAATAGTAGAGGAGAGATAAAAGATGAAATAGAATTTGGGTTTTCTCACAGCTTTTGTAGGAAGAAAACTGGAGCAAGTGAGTAAACTGACAATTTTTTTTTTCTCCCTCTCCATTGTCCATGTTGATTCAACAAAAACCCAACTTATTTCTAAACCATTGTTATTGCTCTAAATTGGAGCAATGGTCTTGGAATTGAATTAAAACCCTAATTTTTATTTTATAATTTGCATTTGATTTGTTCATTCTATTATATATAGTTGTCTTTTATGGACAATCATGATACAACAATGGACAATTATGGTTGTGCAAGAAATACAACCCCGGTCATCTTCATATATATATATTTTTGTTTTTAAAATTGACTTGTTAAAAAAAAAAAAAAAAAAAAATCATTTGGTGTATTTCTAAATCATCTGAAAAATATGTACATTCTAAATGTATAATCTATGAAATGAAACCAATTGCCTTGTATGCAATAAGGCATGATATATATAACCCTATCTTTAGTTGTGTTGTCAGGGATAATTTAACAATACAGCAGAAGAACAGACAGTTGAACCTGGCAGCACTGCAGCAGAAGAACCTCATTGAGCAACTTGTTGTGTATATATAACTGTTGGCACATGGAATGATTCAAATCGCGGTTCAGTCAAGTCCACTGCTTCTTCATCTTGAGAACGCTGCTTTTTGACGTTTGAGGAGAGGACGATTTCACTCTCTTCATACTTTGCAGAATCAGTATTGGCTTCTTTCTGGCTGTGTGGAGGCGAAGATGAGCGGTCACACGTGATTTGCTTGATCTCCTCTTCTCCAGTTGGGTTGAGAGTTCTTCCATAGCTTTCAATGTCACGGTTGAATGAGCTCTGAACAATATAAAACAACCAAAACGAAATAATCATCTGTTAATGTGCTTAAACGAAATAATAATCTCTTTTCTTTTTTTGAGTTCAAACCTTAAAGCTGTGTCCCATAAAGTTCTTCCTCTTAGATTTTTCTGGAGCAATAGTCGAGAGAATTTGAACAACCTCACTCATGGTTGGGCGAGAATCGGGATCTAGCAGCAGGCACTCCTTTGCTAAGTAAGCCATTACCTGCATTTCCTCTTCTTCAAAGACCCCCTTCATATTTGGGTCTGGCAACTCTGAAATCACTCGCTTACTATCTTGCAAACGCGGAGTTGCCTGTAAAAATATGAAAAGAAAGAAATCATTGTTGTGTCCTGAAACTATAGATGCATTTGACAACTAGTAATACAATTTCTCCATGCATGTCAAAATTGTTTATGAGGTTTTGTAGTACCCATATTACGAGGCTCTCCTCCCCTCTGTTCATTGACTTCTGAATAGGCTGCCGTCCAGTAATGAGTTCAAGAAGCACAACACCAAAACTGAATACGTCTGATTTTAGAGAAGCTCGCCCGACAATCGCATATTCTGGTGCAAAATAACCAAAGGTCCCCTGCATTCTGGCAGGGGAACTGGAACAACTGGCCACACCATCATTTTGCAGGTGTTTAGCCATTCCAAGGTCAGTAATCTGAAAATAATTCCAAGTAGATAACAAGTTGGATACCAAAAACTGACAAATGGAGTACACTACAGAACTTAGATAAAGTTATGAAATACAATGAAAAGGTAGTGACTACTGACTACTGTTAATTCAATTTTTATTCTTGTTTCCAACAATTATTGGCCAATGCTATCTTTGTAACAGTTCTTTGCAAATGCCAAGTATGGTACTCATGAAAGAGACTGAACTGGACTTTATTAGATGAATCCAAAATAATTGAATATTCTCTCTCGTGTTAGATATTTACACTTAAACTTATTCTGTGAGTTGACAACTACTATACACCCCTACTTGCAGCTTTTATAATTTTATTTGAATAAAGTTGTATTCTTCTCATAAAGCTCTAGCACCCATGAATATTGAACAAATAAGTTTCTCTTTGGAATATTGAATCTAACATATATCAAGCAGTGGTCTTCGTTGTCAGTTGTCAGTACATAAACAAAATGGCACAAAGGAATTTAAAAAATTAGTCTGAGTAACCGGACCAAAAATGCATTTCTACTTGTTAATTTGGTAATTGAGATTTATAACATTACCTTGGCTCTCCAATTCTCATCCAGTAGGACATTTGTGGATTTGACATCACGGTGCAAAATTCTTGGTGCAGCTGCTTCATGGAGATACTCCAGACCCCGAGCAGCTCCAAGAGCAATTGTAACCCGAGTGCCCCAGTCCAAACATCTTCCAGAAGCCACATCCAGACAATCTCTCAGGCTGCCATTAGGCATGTATTCAAATACAAGCAGCCTCTGAGCATGTTTTCCATGGTATTCTAAGCAGTAGCCAAGCAATGGCACCACATGACAATGATGAAGTCTTGATATCAGTTCTATCTGATAATCATGCAGACAAGGGTCGTTACATTTAACTTCTTTATTTGTTTGCATCTGTTAACACTGTGCACAATACTTTAGTTTACTTGTAGAATTAACACTAAAAAGCACTACCTCTGTCAAGAAAGAAGATTCTGAATCTGGCCCTCCTTGAATTTTTATTCTCTTAACTGCAATGATTCTTCCATCCTTCAGTTGGCCGCGGTATACCTGACTACTTCCTCCAACTCCAATCAAATTGGAAGTAGAGAACCTATCAGTTGCGTTTTCTAAGTCAAAGTATGAAAACTGTATAATCATTCCATATGGTGCTCCCATTTTGCTTCTGAATAGTAATGACGCCTTGGGAATGCACCCTACAGAATAAAGTGAAGCAGGAAGTTAATTGTAGAAATAGGCAGAATGAAGTTCTATCTCTACCTCATCAATTTCACATTTACTTAACCACCCTAGTATCAATGAAACTGAAGGGTTAAAAAGGAAAGTTTAAAACATAACAGCTTTAACATTCCCAACATTTTGACCAGCACTTCTTACCTCTAACAAAATTTGTTGGGGTGGCTGCAGAAACTTTAGATTCTGTTTCTGAAGAAGCTCCTTGGCTTATTAAGTTAGTAGCACTACTGAAACTTGTTTCTTTATCTGGTGAAAAAATATGTCGTTGAACAGAATATTTATCCCTTTGATAGATGTAGCACAGCATCAAAGCAATAAATGCAAGAGTTGCAACTGCTGAACAAAGTAAGAGAATAACAAAAACAGCTTTGCTGGAAATCCACTTCTTGGGATACTGTGTTTCAACTGGAGTCCCTATTGAAAAGCAATTAAACACTCCATAAGCAAGGATAGAAATAATTTGCACTGTACTTAACTGAGATACCATGCAAACAAAGATGTAATAGTTGGGGGTAACCTCAGCCAAGATGGCGAAGGATACAAACTTGTAACCACAAAATCACGAGTTCGAATCCCAGCCCTCTTGGTTTGAGCCGGTCAGCTATGGGCAAGTTAGGGGTAGAAATAGGCCGGGTCGAACTAGGCTTTTGAAAATTAAGCCTGGGCTTGAGCCTGTATGTAAGCTATTTTTTAGGCTCAAGCCTGAGCGTACCATTAGCCTGGTCTGACCTGAAACCTGTTTAAAGGCCTGAAAAAAAAAAAAAACATATCTATCACAGTAATTTGAAGTTTGAACATCTACTTTAGGTTAGGTACTTCAAAGCCTAACATGATAATTAATCATCTTTAAGCAAATACAGATTTCACACTTTAATTAATTTTATTTGCTTCTTTATTGATTATGTTCCTAACCTGGAATTAGAAAGGAATTAAAGGATCTTTCATGTTAAAATATAAATAGAGTTTGAAGAGTGTCCAGTGTCCATGTGTACATAATCAAATACTCCCTCCGTCCCATTTATGTATTTGGTTTGGTTAACGAGGCTTGACTGAAGTTAGTTTTAATTCAATTTGTCATACTATTAAGTTTAGTATTAGTATACAAAATTTATATATTTAGAAACTACACTAAAAGTACTATTAAACACAAAAAATCAAATTTAAAAATAAGTAAAAAATACTCAAAAAATAAACAAATAAGAAAGAATTGGTTTGACCAATAAATAGTAAGTAGGACAGATAAAATGGGACAGAGGGAGTAAAACACTTAAGCACTCAATATATAAAGCTTCATGAACTTCTAAATAGAAGAAGTCAGGAAAAACTATTCTATATACTTGTGAGAATGGAAATATTGAATAGCCAAATAGCGGAATATGAAATAATTTTGGGGGTTAGGGTTTTCTAATTCACATATATACTTAAGTTATATATATATATATAGGCCATGCTTGTAGGCTTGTAGGCGTGGCTTTATAGATATAGGCTTGGGCCTATTTAATAAATAGGCTTTAAAACAGGCTTAAGCCTGACCTATTTACTAAATAGGCTAGGCCGTAGGCCCCTACAAAGGGGCCTAACCTATTTCCACCCCTATGGACAACCTAGGCTGGTTTACCTCCTTGTGGTCCTTTGCCAGATAAGGTCACAAGAAGGGATTTGCCTAGTGCACACCCTCGGGTAGTGGCTGCGATTTCCCTCATCACCTAAAAAAAAAAAGATGTAATAGTTATGAATAGCTGTATGAACCATCACTAATATGCTGGCGAGGATAGAAGGCCCCAAATAATAGTATCTGTTCATTATGACAAACAACTAACCCAACATACTATCTCTTCAGCATGACAAATAACTAGTACATAGGCACCAACTAACTACTTATTTGGATAAACTTTGCTAGACCATAAAGGTGAAATACCAAAACTGCAGTTGCAAGATGTAAAGCAGCCAGTATTATTACGTCCAGCAGCCACAGTAGGTAACCCCTCAGCGGCACATATACATATCCACTTGCTTTGGCTTGAGCCATCTGCAGATACAATAATGCCAAAGCTTATGGAAATATAAGGTAATTCATGAATTTCTTTTATTGAAAAAAAAGTTAATATCATTAAATCTACCTACAGTTAGATGTAACTTGCATTTTACTAACTTGTAATTATTTAATTTACACTTTGCCCAACCTGAATTAAAAATCTAAGATGAAATGACTATAACCCCCATAAACTATTTAATACAAACCAACTTCCTTTTTATGTAATTGTAAAAATCAAAACCAAACATCCTTAAATAGTAAAAGAAATAGTAGAGTTGGTCCCCCGTGGATTCAATGTCAATATTTGCTTGTTTCACTCAACATTGTATACAATTCCATATATGCAGTTTACCAGACAACTTAAAAACTTTTCTTTAAAGATGTCTTGTTTTGAGTTTATAATACTGTAATTAACAAACCATGGAAATAATAATATGTTAGAAAGAAAGAATGAAAGAAAATACCAGTACTTTTGTGTGTGTATGAAATTACTTTAAACTAACTATAAAGTTATGCAAGTCATCATCAAATATTATGAAGAAAAATAAAGAACATCTAAACCAATTTGACATTTTGATCGACACATCCACAATTTTTTTCAAAAAGGATAAATAATCTTTTGTTGAATAAAAAAGTAATTTAAACAGTGTTGATTTTTAAAATTACATAAAATAAATCAAGTGAATAATAGACAATTTATTCTAGACTTTTAAGTTAAGGTGTTCAAAGTTCATATGGAATAACTTTATGCGGGCAAAGTGCAACTAATATCTAATTATGGATGGGTTTAATGAAATTAACCCCAAAAAAATATAATTAAAATATTACCTTAAACAAAATACATATATTTGAGCCTTACTAATAATCAAAATTTAAGAAGCTGTCTTGGTTCAGCCAATAGAGCACATGGCTTTTACATAGGTGTATGTAGAAACACTAATGTGCATTTTTCTAACTGACTAACTGATTTTCTGCATTTGGAAAATATAAAAGTCCATTTTTTTTAGCCAGAATTCCCTTCTGAGTAATTAAGTAGGATTTTAACTCTACTTCCCTTGTAAGTAATTAAGTAGAATTCTTAACCTGACTTCCCTTGTAAGTAATTAAACAAAAATTTCGACTTCCCTTGTAAGTAATTAAACAAAAATTTCGACTTCCCTTGTAAGTAATTAAGTAGAAATTCCAACTTCCCTTATAAGTAATTAAATAGAATTTTGAGGCAGACCTCCCTTATAAGTAATTAAGTAGAATATATAAGTGAGAAGAAATATGGCATGGATGATTAACTTTGTGTGATTGTGGCAATAAGTTGTTACTGCATGCTTTCACAATAGGATTAGAAGCATACCAGGATTGCAATCACAGGATGAGGAACAGTTAGCAGCACTAGCAATACTCAAGTTGGTGAAACAGGTGCATGTCCACTTACTTGTCTCAGATGAATTAGAAGGCCCCTCTGAGAAATAATAAATAAATTACTTTATACAACTTAGCAAGGTATTTACATGGTCAAATTGCAATAGAAATTGAAGCAAGCAGTTAGCAGTTTTCTATTTTAATAAAAGAGAAAGAAAACTATTTCTGCTCCTAAGACAGACACTTGGGCAGAAGGAATTGAAGAAGCAAGAAACATATACAAAGTTGACACACCTTAAATACCCCACCCCCATAGGGAAAGAGATCAAATTTAACACCAAATTGGCACAGGATGAAAGGAAAAGGAGACAAATTCCGGAAGAAATTAAAAGGAAGGGCAACATACTAACCACAATTAACTTGCTCTATCCAGGCCAAGCTAATGAGACCAGCAAGCACAAGTTTCACAGTAAACCTCATCTCTCATATCCAATCATCAAACTAAAATTTCCAGAAGAGAAGATGCAATGAATATTTCAATTCCAGAGTAAGAAGACACAATGTATAATACCAGAAAGTTTTGATCTTGGGTAATTATTTCCATCCAACAAATTGTTAAAAATAAAATCTAAAAGAGTTTCTTTCAAAGGGAAACTTACATCAATTGAAGTTGTCTGGAAATCTAAGAAAGCTTGAATGTCTCTAGTCCTACATTTCAGCAATTAGAGCAGCATGAAGATCTGAGTTGGCAGTTCTGTTTTCCATTGAAGTTTCTTACTTTCTTTTAATGGAAATAGAATTCAGTTTAAGAAAACTGCTATATAATAATTAATGTATACATAGATAGCACTATACACATGTCATCTATGCCACGAGGTACTAAATATAGGCAGACCCTTGAAGATCCATTGATATTCAACTAACCTACTGAATGCAGTGTTGACAGAAATATGAAAAGATGCCCACCAGTCATTTTGACATTCCAGCAGTGTAGTTACATCAAACAATTAATGTGCATAGCAGAATGGGAAAACCTCTTTTGAACTTTAGGCAGCAGTGTGAAGTTCCATGTTTAACGCAAGCCAATCACATTAACTAGAGCTAGTCTTTGAAAAATAACAGTTTACTTCAACCTATGTGCGAGACTTAAACAGCATAAACATACTATCATATTCTGGAATTGTAAGTCTATAGATTTCAGAGAAATTCTGGTTTTGTAAGTGAGATACTGAAATATAAGGATGGGGTTTAGGTAAATAGATTGGCAATTTGAAATGATTAAAGTAAAGCTATATAAAATATACAAATTAAAACTGAATTTTTAAGAAGAAGAAGAAGAAGAAGAAGAAGTATTATAATCCAGAAAACTTACTCTTGCAGACCTCAAGGGTGGGATATTATGATATTACTAGAAAGCAAAAGCATTCCCCAACTTTGCCAATTTAAATGTGGGCATAACCATCAAGATCAACATGAAAGAAAGGCCAAAAATGAAATGCAGAACAGTCAGCTGACAGCAGACACGTAAAAAAAGGACCAAATATTATTATAAACACACAAAAAAAAAAAAAAAAAAAAAAAAAAAAAAAAAAAAAAAAAAAAAGATTTTAAATGTTTAGTTATAAGCTCAAAGGTCCATTAATCAAACTTTGCGAAAGCTACCCAATCTCGAATGCGACGGGGACCGCTCAACAAATCAAAGAGTAAAGACACATTAAACCAAATACAGCACAATTATTAAAGAGCAAATTAATCATAGTACCATATCTAATCTGCTCAACTCCTGCTCCAAAGTCATTATTAAGTGGCAAGAATCTTTAGTCAAATGGACCCACGTAGCTGATGAAAGAGGGCAAACAATTCAAAACGTTTGAAATGGTTATGGCTATGGGCAACGGTTGGAATGGTAAAAAGACTTTGCTTGAAAGACATGAAGATGCTGGGCTACAGCTACAGGGCTGTCCTCTCTTCTCTTTGGTGGAGACTTGAGACTGGAGAGTGACGTTTGCCGGAAAAAGACGCGCGATATATATTTTTAGAATATATTTATTTTATGTAGGTTGAGTGAAAGGCCCACATTTTTCATTTTTGGTGTCGGTAGACGAGTAAAGAAACCAAATTTTAATTCAAATTTTTTTTGTTTTTACGTTATCAAAATAATATATATTATTTAAATGAAATAAATATAAACAAATACCAAAGTTTAACTAACAATTATTCTAGTCATAAATCTTGTGGTTAAGCTGCATAAATGTATCTCTCTCAAATAAAAAGTCACAGATTCAAAAGTTAAGAGTATATATAAACAAATACTACATCCTAATAAAGTCAATACTACTAAAAAAAAATTTAACAATTACCCTTAATTAACGGATTTGTTAGCCAAGAGCCCAAGACAAATACAGTTCGAAAAGGAGTTAATGTCACCTTTGCTATTTTGGTGCCATTCCCACCTCCCACCATTAATGCACCATAATTATTATTATCAATACATAAATTTACTCTCTTTTTCTTTGTTTTGTTTATTTCGGTGAGAATTTCAATGAAATTTCATGTCCTTTTGTTGCATAATTTGAGATTGATCAAAATTTATAGAGAAAATTTTTGAATTTCTACAAGTGCATATAGTGTAAAGATCATTTGCAATTTGCACTTTATTTTTACTATTTACGGAGTATTAATTAATTAAACCATCTTTTTTTATTATTATTTACTGTAACATTTTTTATAATTTTTAAATAGAGTTAATTATCAAAATGGTTCCTTGACTATAGCAAAATTACTAATTTGGTCATTGACTATTTTTTTTGACCAATTAAGTCCCTCAACTTTAAAAATCTTAACCAATTTAGTCTTCCATTTGTTTGACCATTAGTCAGCACTTAATTTGGGACCAAATTGGTAAGTTCGCTATAGTCAATGGACCATTTTGATAATTAACTTTAAGGGTGGACAATTCGGTTTAGTTTTCTCGAACCGAACCATACCAAACTAGTTAGATTCGGTAATATACCGAATGGTAATAGATTCTTGTATATCGAACGGTTCGGTAAAAACTCAAACCGAACTGCATTGTTCGGCAAAAACCGAACCGAACCGAATACCAATTGAACTTTGGATTGCTATTTTGTTATATATTAGACTTTGGATATGGACTATGTAAACACCATAACACATAATATAGAACTTTTGATAACAAACCATAAAGAAATCAAATAAAATATTTACGAAAGATACTCGTGAGAATATGAGCTGAACAGCAGAACAAGCAACAAGGGACTTGGATTTACTTTTTATTTATTTATTTATTTATTTATTTATTTATTATTATTATTATTATTATTATTATTATTATTATATTTAAAAAAAAAAAATCAAACGGTATTCGGTTCAGTTCAATTTTTTACTGAACAATTCGGATCGACTCGGAATGGTTTTTTTTCAAACCTTTCGGTATACAAGAATCCAATACCGTTTGGTTGTTCGGTATATTACCGAAACAAACTAGTTCGGTACGGTTCGATTCGAGAAAACTAAACCGAATTGCTCACCCCTAAAGTTAATTATCAAAATGATTCCTTGACTATAGCGAAATTACCAATTTGGTTCTAAGTACGGTTGACTAACGATCAAACAAACGGAGACTAAATTGGTTAAAAATTTTAAAATTGAGGGACTTAATTGTTTAAAAAAATAGTCAAAGACCAAAATGATAATTTCGTTATAGTCAAGGACCATTTTGGTAATTAACCCTTTTAAATATATAAATTTTATATAAATATGGCGGAGAATAAAAAAATTAAAATGTAAATACGTTCAGCTCGTTAACATAACCAACCTCTCACTGGAAGAATAAAAAATACTCCGTAAAGAAAAAAAAGTGTAAATTTTACATTGATATACTAATAATGGAAATGACACCGTTAAAAATGACAAGGACTGATTTGGGAAAAAGAGAAGCTCAACGAAAAAATAGAAACGCCGGCGTACCTCCGACGTCGGAGGAGAGGTCTGAGCTTCACTTCCAGGTCACCGGAGTACTAGTGGGAGAAGGATTGAGCATCAGCGAGCTATTCGGCGAGAATGCGGAGGAATGGCGCCATAACTCTGGAAAACCAAAGGAGTCCTCAACTCTGAGCTGAACTGTAAACTGTCACTCTGAGAAGGAGAGAGAGAGAGAGAGAGAGATTGAGAGAGAGAGAGAGAGAGAGAGAGAGAGAGCGGAGGATGATGAGGAGGAGGAGGCCAGGGAGCGGATCGAGCGTTGCATCTGGGCCGTTGGCTTTGAATTAGCAGAGCTGTTGGGGCCCACAGAAGCCACGTGACTGACTGACAAGTACATCGTATTCCCGATGAGCCGAGCTGCTACCTGCTTTCTCGAGCAACACCACGGCTTCGGTTCTGCCACATGTCGAGTCAGTATTCCGATTTGGGGTAGGAATTACTTTTTACTTTGATCTTTTATTGTCTTAAGTCCATTCCCTCCCCAAAAAAGATGATGTTTGATTGTTTGATTTTTTTTTTTTTTTTTTTGAAAGAACTGTTTGATTCTTTTTAAAAAAATAAAAATAAAATAAGGGTCAAATAGGCTATCGAACTACACACCAAACTTTAATTAGGCCATTTAACTCAAAAAAATTACAATCAAATCCCTGAACAGCACAAATTTAAACAATTGAACTTAAAGTGACCTGCTAAACTGGTAATTAGATGACGTGGCGGTTACTAAATTATTTTTTATTTATTTTTTGATTAATAACTTATTTTAAAAACTTATTTTAATAATTCTTAAATAATAAAACTTTTTAAAACAAAAAACAAAAAAAAAAAAAGGAAAAGGAAAAACGCCGAAAATTTACATCAAACAAAAAAAATAAATCCACCGCTCTCCTACAGTTTGTCGTTAACAATGGAGCTTCCGTTTCCGGTGATGGAGAGGATCAACGGCGACGAAGGCACGCCGCTAAGGACCGTCGTGTTCTGCAAATCATCGGCCAGAGGTTCACGATGCGGCTGAGTGCGGGCGGATGGCGGCGGCGTTGGTGTTGGCGTTGGCGTTGCGTCGAGGCGGAACTGGGTTTATTTTTCCCAGTTACGATGTTTCTGCTGTCTTCCCTCTCAGACGACACGGGCGACCATTCTCGGCTGTTCGTCACTGCTTTGCTGGATTATGCCGGTGGCGATGTCGATGGTGAAAATGAAGGTGGTGCTGAGATCATGATTGCAGTAGCGTAAGAAACAGACGAAGAAGAAGGGGGAGGGGGTCGCCGGTGGTTTTTCGTTTTCCTTTTTTTTTTTTTTTTATAATTTAAAAAGTATTAAAATAAATTTTTAAAATAAAAACTAATTTGATAACTGCCATGTCATCTAATTATCCGGTCAACAGGTCACTCTAGGCTTAATTGTTTGAATTTGTGCTGTTCAAGGGCTTGATTGTTGCTTTTTTGAGTTGGATGGTCTAATTGAAGTTTGGTGTGTAGTTGGATGGCCTATTTGACCATTATTCCTAAAAAAAAAATAAAAAAGCTCATTTGTTTAATTATAAGCAGAAATGATTACAAATAAGAACAACTTCTTTTGCAATGTTCGGGAGAACTTGATTCGCAAACTGTTTCACAAATTTGAACCTAATTTCGGTGAATGAACGTAAAGCTTCTTTAATATCGTTGAAGAATTGATCAAACGTAGTCAAGACTGACTTTGGTTGAAAAATCTTGCACACTGACTTTGGTTGAAAAATCTTGCACACTACCTGAGTATCTGTTTTCAACATTATGTCCATTGACAATAAATCTATCAAGAATCAAGATGGACTACATATGACAATAAAAAATAACTGTTTGATCCTTATTTATTGAGTTATTATAATTTTATTTAGATTAGATATTTAATACAATAATTGATCTGTTAAACATTTAATAATTACACTTGAAGTGAAATTATAATTATATCAATAAAAAGAAGTCAATGCTATTTTCTAGTCATTTTTGGTACGTGTTGCTTGCTTGCCCAAGTTAATGCGATTTTTTGTCCTAAGAGCAACTCCATTAGGAAGATTTTAGAAGTTTTTTTGCAGGTTGAGTGTATAGGTGGAAGAGAGAGATGGAAGAGAGAGAAGAAGTGGGTGTGTTTCAGACTTTCAAGGAGACCTCAAATTTTCCAGAAATTGTGGGTCCCACCAAAGTTCTTTGCTTCCCCGCCTGGCCACGTGCAAGGCAAAGAGGCGCCCATCGGGTGCATGCACTGCGCGCGCCCAACGGGCGCGTTTAGAGCTCTTTTTATTTTTACTTTTCCTTTTTTTTTTTTATTTTGTTGACATTCGTTTTTTGTTTTTTGTTTTTTTTACCCCTCCCTCATTTTCTCTTTCCTAATCACACCTACAAAAAATTTTCAAAAATCACACCAAAATCTCCACTATTAAGGATGCCCTAAGAGTTAAGAATTACATTATTGATGGAGAAAATTAACTCTAATAATATATTAGAAATGATTGGAATATAAAGATCACGAAAAGACAATGGAATCTTATTTTCTTGCTTTTGATTTCTTTTTTTTTTTTGAGTTAATACCCATTTTGGTCCCTCGACTATGATGTAATACACAATTCAGTCCCAAACTATTAAAACTCAATTTAGTCCTCTAAGTTGTAAAATTATACCAAATTTGGTCCTCTGTTACAATTGTCATTCTTCCACCGTTATAGAGAGGGACAAAAATGTTATTTTATCTAAAGTCGAGGGACCAAAATAGGTATTAACTATTATTATCTAATAGTCGAGGGACCAAGATATGTATTAACTTTTATTATTATTATTATTATTATTATTATTATTATTATTATTATTATTATTGTTGTTGTTGTTGTTGTTGTTGTTGTTGTTGTTGTTATTATTGTTATTGTTATATTTGATAATTTGATATTGGTACAATGTCTCCTATCACCATATTACTTCCTTTTTAAAAATTAAAATGTACCACAAAAAAAAAAAAAACAAAACAAAACAAAACAAAACCAAAAAAAACATGCGCGGTCTTGCTTTCATTTTTTTTTCATTTAGGGTCAACAACCTTGGTCCACATTCCAAGCTTCTTGGGTCAAATATAATATATCCATTAATTATATTATGAGATAAATAGTAGAAGATGAGAATGTATTATATATAAGTATAAAGTGATCGGAAGCTTGACTAGAGCGGCCAAATAGTTTCAATTAGTTTACTACATATAAGATGTCTTGATTTATACTTAAGTTCATAGTTAGTGTATTGATGACCCATGGTAAGTGGCTCTAATGTTACGTGTTTTGGTTGAATTTGGATGTGGATAGCTAGTTAGGCAATGACTCAAGTTAGTCAAGGGGTTTAGTAGGTCTATCAAGAAGCTGAGGTGACATCTTTCGGCATCGTAACAAGTGTAAGTCACATACTTAACACGAAATGCTCAATGTAAGTGGGGTCGGTAGTCAATAACTTTCTAATCATATTTGGTCGGTCATGCAGATTGGATATTGATCTTCTAGACTTGCTCTTCTCCCTAAACCCCATATATCAATATTATTTCTGATGGTAAATATACACTAGGACTACCCATGAGATTACCCAGGTCAAGACCACCCGATCGTTCTACCCAACCATTTGGTCGGTCGATTACATCGCTTATTTTGGAGATTGGAAAGCCTAGCTTACATTATAAGTAAGAAAACCCACTTGCGCCTGCAGGAAGGGCCGCTGAAGACATACGAGAATGATGGATCTATTACCTCGGGTAGTCAACCTACGCCTAGTTGTGGGATGACCGACTGGCTAGACCAACTGGAGCACACCACGTCAAGCCACTTGCGTCTGAGCATTAAATCTCTAATATAAATACGAGGGTCCTCCGGTCCTCCCCTAAGTTGAGAGATTTCACTACATTGTAAAATTACACTTGTAATCCGCTAGTACTCTTTAATACAAAGCTTAGTCTTTCCAATCGTCCACTCGGCTAACTGATTGACCCGGTCCAACTGACTGTCTGACTAAACGTCATTTTACTTGTCCATCACATTCGTATTTGTAGCGTAGTCACGAGACCCCCGGTCCAATTTACGCTATTAGTTTGTTTCTCTTATTATATCATAAAAAGAAGACAAAAGTGTTGAATTGACCCCTTAACTCTAACAAATAGTGCAATTATATCTTCTAATTGAAAAAGAAAGAAAAAAAAAACTCCAAATAAGACTCTCTAAATCGACAAAATAGTGTTATTAGGTCATACTTTTTTTTTTTGAATACTATTAGGTCATATTATTACCTATGCAACATATTACTGCTGATGTAGTACTCATAGGTAGCATCTTGATGTTTACATAGATTTTAAGAGTTAATTCCAGGAATGGTCCCTTGACTATTGTTATTTACCAATTTTATTCTTCGATTTTCAATTGGATCATAAATGGTCTATTGACTATTGAAATTTACTAATTTTCGTTCTCGACTTTCAATTTAACCATAAGTGGTTCCTTGACTAATGACTATTGATTTTATTCCAAATTTGGTCTTCTGGTTAAATATCATTTTAATAAACATTAAATTTAAGGATAATAATGTAAAAAATTTAGTTTTTGCAATGATGAACTCGATGTATTAAATTTATGAATTCAATTTGTCCACATCAACAACAAGCTAATTTTTGCATTATTATTCTTAAATTTAATACTTACTAAATGGATATTTAACTGAATGACCAAATTTGGAACAAAATCAATAGTCAATGGACCGTTTATGGTCATATTGAAAGTCGATGACGAAAATTGATAAAGATTAATAGTCAATGGACCATTTATGTTCCAATTGAAAGTCAAAGAATAAAAATTGATAAATGTCAATAGTTAATGGACCATTTCTGAAATTAACTCTAGATTTTAATTATACAATTATTTTATTTGTTTAAATGGTACAATTTTTATTTTTATTTTTCGTAAAAAAATTAAAAAATTTAAAACTCAATGTGAAACAAGTTTGAAAGTAAACTTTTAAAATTATCAATATTACAAAAATTCTAAACAAAACCTAATTAAAATTATCATTAAAAGAAATTAAAAAGTATGTTATGGTAACAAGCGTTGGTAGTTGAGATGCTTAACAACTCAGTCCAGCAATAAGACCTAACCTAATTCCAATCATTATATCCTACACCACGGCGCACATAGCACTGTGCGCCGCGCGCCTCCCAAAACGACGTCGTTTTGGGGTAGTGTTGGGAGGCGCGGTAGGAAGTTGCTGAGATTATGTGTATTTGTTCACAACGTTATGTGTATTTGTTCACAATGTTATGTGTATTGGTTCATACAGTTATGTGTATTTTTTATACAATTATGTACATTCTTTTTATACAATTATGTACATCCGAATCAGAAAATTTGTGTGTATTATGTTAAGAGTTGATGTGTATTATGTTAAAAGTTTATGTTTATTATGTATTATGTTAGATTATGTGTATTATCTTTTAAAAAGAGTATGTATATTTTGTTATATAATTATGTACATTCGTGTATAACATTATGTGTATTCTAGTATAACATTATGTACATTATTGAACAGCGGGTTTTTTTTTAAAGAAAAAACTACTGCCATTCACTGGGGCGAGAAATTTCAAAAAAAAAAAAAAATAATTAAAACGACGTCGTTTTGCATCTGGGTGCATAGTGCAACACGCGCCGTGGTGTAGGATATAAATTGCCACCTAATTCAGTAATGCATTTAAATCCGCCATGGACTGGAAGAGTCCGGGCCGGCCTTCAGTAATGCATTTAAATCCGCCATGGACTGGAAGAGTCTGGGTCGGCCCAATTAAGGTGCAAAGTACTGGTCAAATTGACTTTTTCAAACGAGAGGGGATTTGAACTCTCGATTTCTCTTAAAAGACAATAATGCACCATCACTCACACTAACTAAGCTAGTTAAGTTTATGGTATTTTCATTGCATTGTTTGGATATATTCGTTTCGTGAATATAGTTAATTTATTTAGTGGTAGCAATGAATTTGATTAAAGTTTTATATGTAATTATAAAAAGTGTTAAATAAATCCCATAAGTTGGTAAAATGTTCAATTAGATCCAAAATGACTTATTCAGTATGTTACTATTGGTGTGGCAGACAAGTGATGTTTATGTGGATCTAATTATAAAAGCTCTGTTTGGTAGAACTTATTTTAGAGTTTATAAGAACATATACACTAGTAGATTTTTTGAGGTTTTTGGTACAATGCAAAAAACAAGGGGTGGTTTTTTATTGATGTGGGAGGTGATTTTTTGTAGCATTTTATTCCTGCAAGAGAGGTATTTTTATGGGGCCCGCTTATTGAGAAAGGAAAGCCTATTGTCTCGCGTTTCGCTAAGGCATGCGCCCCACGCGCCCGTTGGCGAGTCTGCTCAAATGCTTTATTTTTTCTTTATTCCCGTTGTGTCAGATTCCCTTTTGTTTTTTCTTTTGTTTTTTTTTTCTTTTCCCTTCTTCTCTCTTTACTCTCTCTCTTAGTGGCACCTAAAAAATTTGTGTAAAATTAACCACCGATATGGATGCTCTAAGCTTTATTTGGTAAAACATAGGGAGTTTAAAATAATAGCTTATTTTGAAACGCTATGAAAGTAGCGTTTCAAAAAAGCTCTTGGCTATTTAACTATTTTTTTTTATCTTTATTAATTTATAAAAATAACATCATTTATCCATCATTAATCAAAATTCTAATATCTTAGATTATCCTTTTATGTATATATTTTTACATTTATCAGCTAATTTAACCATTAATTTTACCAAACACTTTAATTTCAATTAGTTAGCTTATTAGCTACTAGCTTTTCAGCTAGGCGTGCTAAATAGAGCCTTAAGCCTATATAAATAATTATTTCTTTATAATTTTTATTTAAAAAAAAATAAATCCAAGTGTACAGCTACCAATGACTATCTCTGATGTGGACAACCATGGCTGTCCGAGGTCCAAACGAGCATGTTTAACCTGTATTTGAACGGGTTGTCCATCACAGATGTTGACCCGTCCAATTCTCAACTCATCCCCTATAGCCCGTATAAAATATGGCAAATTATACTATGGACCAAGATCTACCATGCATTGTGGACATTGGTCCAAAATAACCTTCAGATTATGTCTGACATATTTTGTATCTACAGTTAATTGTTTATGTACATGTAAATAAATTGAAGGTACATAACATGTTAACTACAGACACATAAAATAGTAACTACAGACATATAAACTGTTAACTGCATGTGCAAAATATATTAACTGCATACACATAATATGTTTACAAACCGTATTAAAAAGGGATTGACCGTCCGGACTCGTTTTTCTATGACCAGTCATTGTTATCTTTAATAGACAGTCATGGTTGTCATTGGACTGCCATTATTGTCCGTGAATGGAGACAGCCACCGGTTGTATTCTTTCACAACTAGTAGCTATAATTTTAAAATAATTAATTTTTACTTTTTTTTTTAATCAAACAAGATGGGTACAATTCAAAAAAGTAAGTACCACTCAAGTACTCCGAATTTTTTCAAAACAAATTGTACACAGGATCCTCGTCAACATTAGAAACCTATGTGTCAACCTACATGTCAGGCACATTATCTACATGTCAGACACATTATCTACATGTCAACCACGTTAACACTAACTCGCTAAACAGATTATATAAGGGCTTAATTGAACAATTTTATTAGTTTAATGGACTTAAATTGATTTTTTTTTTTCTTTCACTTGAAGGGCTTAATTACACTATTTTATTGACTTAGGGTCTTATTTAACACTTTTTTCCTAACTAATTTTACCAATCATGTTCACTAATCAATAATCAAGCTAATGTTTATTTACTCACATTACCTAACATTTTCTTATAGTTTTTTGTTTTGATTTTTATTAAAAAAAAATTTGGTAGAACTTTAGTTGTGACTCTTGTGAGTAGTTTGAGTAACTCTTTTAACCAAATCAAATACATCAAATGGAATGAATATAGTACGGAGTAATTAATTTTAGACTTGTAATTATGAATTGTATAAATAGATATTGAGATTAGAGCATCTCTCATCTCCTAATCTCCCATGGTTGGTGATTTTTCATAATTCTTTGTGGGTCCATTCATTCCACATCAATATCTCTATCTTTAAAATATTTTCTTTCCAATGGTACCTAATTTTTTTTTGTATGGTCTATCCACTCAACATCAACTATTATTTGGTAATTTATTATCATTCTTTATACATGACTATTAGAATTTATAATTTAATTAAAACCATCAAACGAAAAAAAAATGTCATAAATTTAATTAAAAAGTATAAAGTTTGAATTTAAATAATATATCATTAAAATTTAATACAAAATAAAAAAGACTTGCCAATTATTTTTTTAAAAAAATGAATGTTGTTGAACAAGCAACAATCAAAGGGAGGGAGATATCAATTGTTAATTTGTTATATTTTGGATCATGATCCACATTGAAAGGTAAATTCTTGACAAGGTTCATTTTTAATGTATTGGAATTGGTCATTCATTTTTAATATACTACCTAAAAATGAACTTTCAATATACAAAAAAATGAACATTTCAATATACAAAAAATGAACATTTCAATGGTTCACCTTATTATGTGAATCATAGTCGAAAGGAGTTGGTGACCACTCTGACATGCCTGATGGGCATGCTACGTACGAGACAAGTGTATTTTTCACGCGCTCCATGAGCGTGCTGCATTTTTCTTTTTCTTTTTTAACTACAAAAACCGACTTGATAAACACCCCTATTAGGGATGCTCTTATCGGTTATCATTTCGATAAACAAACCAAAAAATCATAGAAAGACAATTCTTATCCAGAAAATCAAATAAGTTACAATCTCCATTTAGCCAGTAAAAACAAAGGATTTGAGGAGGAAATACAGCTCCGGTATTGTTAATGATAACAAGTAAGCCAATAACTAATACACAGTTCAATCATTAGGCTGGTTTGCACTAGCAGTAGCTTGGTTATCAACATTCCTGAGCAACTCAAGGGCAGAAAATGGCAGAATATTAACAGCAGGCTGGTTTTGAGGGTTGAAGTCATTTGCACCTAATGGGTGTGGCTGTGGCTGTTCCTTGTCTTGTGAAAGTTTAGAACTGTCCAACACTGATGGTTGTTGACTCAGGACATGGTTGAGCGAGGGTGAGGGTGAAGATGAAGAAGAGTTAGCGTCAATGGAATTACCTGGTCCACCGCTCTGCTTTGGCTGGGTTGCGCTAGCTTGGTTGTCAAGATTTCTGAGCAACTCTGTTGCAGAAAGACGTAACATGTTGACAGCAGGTAATGGTCTGTTATCGGGTTCAGAAGGCTGATTCTGAGGGTGGTCCATCTTTTGTAAAAGTTGAGAAGAGTCTAACACAAATGGTACGGTTTTAAAGTGCTTTAGTGAGGGTGAAGATGAAGAAGACATGTTAGCAGGTGAGCTAAGACTTGGCCAACCACTCTGCCTTGGCCGGTTTGGATTAGGTTGATTATCAAGGTTTGTGTGCAGCTCCAGTGCAGATAGAGAGTCAGAGATACTCGCAAGTAATGGTTGTTGCAAAGAGAGTGGGTGCTCCTTGTGTTGTGGGTTTTGAGAAGACATTACTCCGGGTCGAATTGGAACATGGTTGAGTGAGGATGAATATGAAGACAAGTTAGGTCTACCACTCAGGATGGGCGAGGGACCGGCTGTAGATGCAGACATAGAAGGCCTGAAAGATTGAAGGTGGGGTGCTGGGGCACGAATCTCGCACCCTAGTCGAGGATTACCAGAGGAAGGGGTGATGGAACTGATAACTGGTGGGCCTGGGGGCCTGTTAGGAATCCTTGGAGATTTACCAACCACGGAAGGAGGTCTTGATGATGCAGGAGTATGCTGCCCAACTACAGTTTGTCCCCCAGAAGACAAACCAATTGATGGCGATCTCATCCTCACCGGTGATGGAGTTTGCATGCCAGCTGGAACCAAAGAAATCGATGGTGGCCTTCTCGGAGATTCACCAACCACGGGAGAGGGCTTTGATGGGGCAGAAGTCTGCTGGCCAGCTACTTGTTGTCCACTGGAAGACGACAAAGAATCAGATGGCAGTCTCGTACAAGTTTGGTCTGAAGTTTGCTCGCCAGCAGAAGGTGAAGCAATCCAAGGTCTCGTACAAGCTGGGGGTGCTGAAGTTTGCCGGCCCACTACTTGTCCACTGGAAGATAAAGCAACAGATGGTGGCCTCGTAGAAGTTTGCTCGCCAGCAGAAGGTGAAGCAATCCAAGGTCTCGTACAAGCTGGTGCTGAAGTTTGCCGGCCCGCTACTTGTCCACTGGAAGATAAAGCAACAGATGGCAGCCTCGTAGAAGTTTGCTCACCAGCAGAAGGTGTAGCAATTGGTGGTCTCATACAAGCGGGTGCTGAAGTTTGCCTGCTAGTTGGAGACGAGCCTATGAGAGAGGCAGATCGCGATGTAGGCTGTGTTGATGGTTGACGTAGATGTTGTATATAACTGGTAGGCACAGCTGCAGTGGAATGAAAAAAATACACACAAGAAATCATTCATTTCAGCAGCCTTCTGTAAAGCATACTCCTAATAAACCATTTATGCAATATATAATTGACTTCTCGTATAAAGTTCAGGAGTCTATTTGACCCTTTTTCCTTACTATTTTGGTGGGAGTTATTTGAGATCAACGATAATGAATCGCTACTTATAATATAGATATGTCCATCCCCCGGTCGAGAGAAACGTGTAACTAAAAATACTTGAAGAGGGTAAAGTGTCCCCGAGGATGTAGTTAGGGGGTAAAGTGGAATTTACCCAAAGCCATAAGCAGCATTTACAACAATTAGAAACATCACACCTTGCTGCATACCTGGAAGCTTTGAAGGTTTGATATCATTGCATTTAGATCTGAAAGTATCAGCCAATAGCTTGTTCAAAAGAACTTTCTTCAGATTCCCACCCAGTTCATTCTTTCTCAGAGAATATCTTGTGTCGGCCTCCTGAAGTCTGGCATTGTATTTGTTACGAATTTCTGCAATCATTTCCTCTATTTCTTTTTCGCAATCAGATTTAAGCAGCGATTTCTGTTTAAAGACAGAAAAAAAAAGCATAAATCACAGGTAATAAAAAATGAAACAGAGTAAGCAATGGACGAAATTTGAAGGTTACCAGATCTTCATGGCTCTTGGCAGCATACTCCATTTCTCTACGCATCCTATCAAATTCATTGTAAAGAGGATCTGCATGCAAAGGAAAAGGCGAATTCCAATAAGACATCAAGTGGACACACTGATATGTTGTTAGGCCTCTCTGAATAGAGGCCACGTTAGGCGGTTCCATCACAGTAATTTGAGAAACGGAGAGTAGTTCACCCCTGGGCTGGCAATCAACTCGACCTGCTCATAAATCAGGACAATCGTGTCCATACAATGGGCATAAATTGAAAAATGCAGTTCCAAACTTAGCACACCTTGCAAATCAGCATCAGGTGAAGGTTGTATTGCTGTCCCAGTCTCAACCAACTGGGAAGAAGGTCCGGAGGTTTGTAAACTACTGTCCTGGTTACAGGTCATGTCTGCAACTTCACCAGGCGGAGAGCGACCACTAGCATCAGAAGCTGGTTGGTTTCCAATATTTTCAGCCAATACGGATTCACAATCAGACATTCTATGTCCAGCATTAATGGGTTCGGAAAGTCCAGCTTCGGTTGGTGATGTAATCTGGCTTTCTGATACTTGTGTCCCATTACACTGATTCATTAGAAATTACAAACCGGTTAGTCACCAATCAAAGATCAACTCCCACTTCCTAGACTTTGTTGTGTAAATGTCTAAACAAAACACAAGAGCCAGATAGCATATTCACAATTGCAAGGCACATAGGTTTTTGTAGATCATAAGAAGATATTTTTTTTGCAAAGCACCAAAAGATTCAAAGGTTAATATTATTTGTCAACACATTCATAGGTACACAGAAACAGCGAGCGTTTTATTTGAGACATCATAAATTGCTTTCAAGAACTAGGTAGTTCAGATCAATGCAAATGGGGTAATGAATAATAACAATGTAAGAAGATGTTTACCAAAAACATTTTATGGAAGACAAAAGGATACATACTTGGTTTTGAGGTAGCAAACCACCATCATCTGAAGAAGTAACTTCTTGTAATGTCTGGTTTCCATCACCAGAGTTACTAGTGACCTCTTTCTCGTTCCCTGCGCTACTTGTCAAATCAGTTCTATTTATAGGTGTAAAATTTTCTTTGGCAGATCCATCAGCTATAGTATTTGCTTCTGCAGTATACTCGCACCCTGCAGCTACATCAGGAGCATCATCATGTACTTCTGGAGGATGATCGCACCCCATTGAAACTTCCGTAGCATGTTCAACTGACAAGACCTCATCAACAGTATGTTCTTCCAAAGGTGGTTGAACTGGAGCCTTGCAAGTGTCACCACTCTTACCTGCTTCAGAAAGCTCTAATGAATTTGAGGTGCTTTTGTTTCTCTTCATGTGTTGCGAAAAATTTTTCTTTAATTCCCGCAACTTCAGATAAACAGTAGTCGCTTCATCTTTAGTACATTCGAAGTTTAGATGCTCTTTTGTTAATACGAGCATCTCCTCCTTGTCGACTTTTTGCTTCAAGAATGAAGCTGCCGTCCAGCACTGAGAAACCATAAAACATAACATTTATCAAATTAGAACGACTACAACTGAAATATATTCAAAGCTAAGCACAAAGTCAGAATTTATAAGTACTTCCAGCATGTAGGAGTGAGAGATCACATCTCAAAGATATATACAAACACATAACATTTGTAAGTTGAAATATCCTAGGACACATTGGTCATTTGATTACCAGAGAAATTTGGAAAGCCTGGAATATGCCGACTGGTTCCCTACTAATGCGATGGTTCTCCATGACATATTCTAGGAAACTTCCAGCCATTTTTTTGACATCTTCCTGCATGTGAAGTCATATAAACAGATTAGTAACTAAAATGCACACATAAAAATCCTATTTTATAAGATCTTATTCATAATAAATGCAACTATGAGGTGCATACACGATACAAACAAGTATTAAAATAAGTACAAAAAAGGAAATCACTGAGAAGTGCTTTAAAAGTTCATGAAATCATCAGCATCATTTACAGGCTTATCTACGCACCAGAAAGCAAGGGTTATAGGCAGAAGATATTTTAAGCTATTAATTGGAACAGAAATACCCTTGAAGCATCATCAGTTTCTTTCTTTTCAAAGCACCTACAGATGATGCAATGAACACATAAAGATCTGAACCCTTGAGTACAACGAAATACCCAGACCAATTCCGCTTTGCATGTTTATTTAGTTTGACCAGCATGGTAATGAACCAAAATCCTCTATCACAAAGATGTCTTTTGATCCTCTAACAAAACAGGGTTCCATATTGGACAACATGGCATTCACTTTGCCAAAGTACTTCTTGTTAGCATATAGGAAAAGAAAAACATAATTAATAGACATTAAAAGATCCCATGCCCACTCTGTTTAATGTTCTGAAAGGTTGGAATCTCTAGTGGAAACGAAAGAGAAACAAAGAATGGATTCCATCTCCTTCAACCTTCATGTTTATTTTGCTGGTTTGGAACAAAAGAAAATAACACTGCTCTGAATGCCAACAGATGTTTTTGGATAAATTCCAAGACCTTCGAGTCTGCCCTTACCTTTTGGTCAGAAGGGGAATTGCCTAACAATGCTCTATCTTCAGTAGATTTTATAGATAGGCTGAAATTTGCATAGTTTTTGTTCTCTTTTTGATGTAGAGAGCTTGTATCTTGGTCTTTGACATTGTATTGTGGGTGATCGAATAAATGGCATATTTACTTATTAAAAACAAAGATCTAAGGTTCAACAAGCCAAACAAAAATGAACTATTAAATGGCTCTGGCTAGTTATGCACTTATGCTTATACTATCAAGCCTCAATTCATAAGCAATTGCCTTAAACTGTTGAGCTACAGCTATGCATAAATAAAGTTTTCTAAAACTGAACTTTGTTTTCCAAATCTAACATGGAAATATTAAATCCCTCAGTGGTGCAAACTATAAAATATGCGACACTTGAAAGAAAGGAAAACATGTCAGTGATATTAGTAGGTGACGATGTAGGCATCCTACTAACAGTTATAACAAGGGAAAGTCAAGAGAGGTACCGAAAGTTTTAGCACTTTAAAAATTTTTGCCATCTCTGCCTTCAGATAGATATGAAGACTACACTGCTCATCAGATATTATATTTCTTTCTGCATGCTCAACCAAATCAACCTCATTTTCACAAGTAGTAGATGTTGGCAATGACTCATTAGAAGCTCTAATTGTAGAAGACCCTGCACTAACATCAGAACCATTTAAGCAATAGCTCATTCATCTAGGAAAATGGATTTCCTTTGCAACAAGATCAGTAAGAGGACAACCAGCATAAGAATGACATACCTTCCTTTGAAGCAGAACGTTGACCTCCTTCATCAAAACCACTGTTCATCTTCCTAGATTTCTTCGCTACGTTATTTCCAATCTCTGGTGATGATCCATCAAAGAATTGGACTCTCTTTCTGCTCCTTGGACTTGGACTTGGACAGCTTATATGTCTCCACTGAGGATTTCTTCCCCCCAACAGATTTTTCCAAAAGACACAAGGTGCTTCTCCACCTGTACACTTAATTTTCTGCTCACCAAATAGTGAAAGATTTGTAGTGCAACGTGAAGAACTATGTAGAACTTTTGAAATAACAGAATTTTGCATGCCAGCATTTTCAGAGCTTTCAGAAATTATGGTGGAGAATTCCCTTATGACATCACTAAAAAGCAACTGCCCAGTTGATGTATGCATAGCTGATGCCTGGCTGTCTCCAGCATAGTACCCATCCAATCTACTGAGCAAATCTGATGCACCCCACATGAGAGTGTTATTCAGGTTCCGGTTTGGACTATGTAAGTGATCTGGTTCTTGCTTTGCAATCACAAGTGCTTGTTCCTCCACTGTAAAACTTGAATATAACCGGAAAACTTTGATTGGTTTAGAGTCTGAATCAAATGATATTTTTTCTAGAAGTCTCAAGTCATTCCATGGATTAGTATCACTGCTATATATGATAACATTATCCACTGATGACAGTTTAAGGGTTGCTTTACACGCACGGTTTTCTAATAAAAATACAAATCGCCCATTTTCCAACTTGTTGAACCTGTTAAGAGCAGATTCCTTCTTGGACCGTATCAGAAATGCATCAATACGCTCATAAGAATTTTCACCAAATCTTTGACGCAAAAAATCATCCAATATGTCACCAATTGAAGGCGTGGTGCCAACAAAGGACTGCCAAAATACATTAAGAATAAATAAACAAGATCAGACAAAGCAAACAATAATTATAAACATGCATATCCTGATACAATTCTAAACATGCCCAAATTCATTTGGTGCACGTTTAAAATCTATAGTTGACTAAATGGTTACTGCCCATACAAGTTCAGAAGCTATCAGAAATAGATTGGATAGAGTTAATCCTAAACAACTAGTGTAGCCGCACATGCATTCCAACTATAAGGTGGATACCCTCGTTCAAACACTGAATTTCTATTTACTAGCCAAATTGACTAAATCAGGGCTCATTCATAGACAGACTCTTCAACCATTCACACAATGACACAAAAACATTAACAATAATAATAAATCCATAAATAAATGAATTCCATTCCATCCCAAACTCCTCTGAATCAGATTCTTATGCTGTAATTCCTGACTTTTTTATGCTCGATGACAGTCCCCCTCCCCCCGCCCAAACCCCTTCCACAGGCGAAGGAAGATACCTAAACAGCGGTTATCACTATTTCATAATTCATATTCAGGTTAGGGGTGTAGGTAAGCCTAGAGATGGGCATTAGTGGCCCACCTCTGGTCCATGGTGAGCTTCAAAAGGAATTCTAGACAGATTCCTAAACTTGTTCTCTCTCACTCCACTTTTCTAATTGATTTCTCTCTTATTCCACTTTTCTCTGTCTCAAGCATCCTTCGAGTTATAAACCCTTCATGCTTTGGGTACATATATTAAGAAAATCACTCCGTATAAACAAAACATTTGACATATTTTGCATCACTAAAGTCTAAAATGAACCCTGCAGCAGCAATTCAGCCTTAGAACAACCTACTCACACAGGTGCTCACCCAGTAACTTAATATAAATTTACACGAATTCAAAATGAGTAACAAAATGTTTGTACAAATACTAGTGAAGTATCCATCAGGTATGCATATGTTTTTACATTTATTTAAAAATAATAAAAAATAAAAAAGAAGAAGAAGAAATCCTAATATGACCTTGCCCATCCATAATAGTATGTGCAAGATACTATATCTCAAGACAAGCACATGAAACTTGATTGTTCTGAAAAGGTAGGCATATTGGAAAATTTGGGGGTAAGGAGTAACAAATTTTCAAGTAAGCCTGAGGTCTTATAGCTTTTATGGGGTTTCTTTCATACGAACTGCGGCACCAGACCATAATTCTCCTGCAAGATTACCTACATTTCATAGCCTGAGAGGCTTGTCCTATTATATAGGGCACAAACATTCTTTTCTCATTTATGTTATTAGCAACTTCTACTTAAACAGAATTTTTTTCCAGAATATAAACAAATATTTTCCTGAAATAAAGCTTGAACAAGTTCTTTATCTAGCAGAACTTCTTTATAGCCCTGTCATTCCACCTTGACAATATTACTTTCCCTTTTGAAGCTTTTCTGAAATAATAACTTAAGGTACTATACTTCTATTTTGGTTTAGACTTCTGAACAAATACGGTTCATTTAAGCCCCAATATAAAGGATACTACTGCTTCCTGCAGAAAAGTGGAGCTGGGGTCCATAAAAGGATCTCGCATGTAAAATTACCAAAGATCAATATTTGGTCTACAGGCAAAACAATATAAATTTATACCTGAAAAAGGACAATTGTTCTTAGCTGCCGGCATTTCATCTCAGATAGCATCTTGTCAAGAAGCTGCAATTTCCCACTTGCTTTTATTCCAATATCCAAGATCTCAGGCTGAGAAAGCCCCTTGCTGAAGGGATTCAAGGATGGATCCCAAATAGTGTAAGGATGATCACAACACTGAAAAAGAAAATCCTTCAGAAACTAATGGTACCCAGCAGTTGCAACAAAAGAATCAAATCACATGGATGATGAACATAGAATGCTGGTAACATCAATAGCACCAAATGTAAAAACACCATCAATCTGCATAAGAGTCATTGCCACAGTTATTGTGCCACTTTTTTTGATAAATTGTTTCAAGGCAAGGGGAAAACTAATTCAACACTGTAATTCGGGTCCTAATGCCAAAGGGGTATGTGGTTGGAAGGTTGGAGTTTCTTTTGCAAGCATTAGGTGGTCTAAACTTCAACAGTTTTTGTTTTGTTTTTTAACAAGCCCATGAGAAGGAGCTCAACTCCAATATGGCAACAACTAAAATAAATTACTCTAGAATATTTGCTTTTGCTATTTTCAAAATTATTGGTTTGCTCACCACCATCCATACACTGAAACACTAACTACCCATTTGATTCACAAAATGAAAATAAAAGGAATAGGAACATAATATCATAACTGCACATTTGGTTTGCGGAATTCTTTTTTTTAAAGGATAAAATTTCAAAAGGAATGGAATAAGGAGGAATAAAAATAATAATAATATTCTATTGTTTGGTTCACAAAAAATAGTACTGAGTATAGGTCAATTATTGGTTTAAGGGATGGAAAAGAAATAATAGTTAGATGACAAAAATACTCAGAATAATATGTCTATACCAAAGGACATTTTTGGTTTTGAGAAAAATGAACTATTCCAATGGCATTTTTTATGTTATGAAAAATTAGCTATTCCTAGGACATTTTTGATATTATGAAAACTTAGATATTCTTGAGAAATAAAAAATAGTTAATACCAGAACTCCCAGAATGGTTATTCCTATTGCAGAGGGAATAGCTCATTATGAGGGGAAAAAAAAAAAGTATTATTTAAAAAAAAAAAAAAAAAAAAAAAAACGTTGAAACAAGTCCATTCCAAGAAATTTCATTTCATTCATGGCCTATTCCATGAATGAAACATGTTGAAAATAAAATATTAAAATTGTATGACAAAGAATAAAATAGGAAAACCATTCCATTATTTGGTTCAAAAAGAATACACAAAAGATAATATTTCATAATTTGGTTGGTTTCAGAAATGGAAAAGGAATAGACAATATTTCAACAATACTTAAATATATATTATAAATAGAATAGAGTTTAGAAATGGGGGTATTTTAGTATTATTGAAATATTTTCTATCTCTGAGAAGGGCAGTATAGCCAATACTATGAGGTGATCCAAAATGGCTATTCCCTCCTCATCCCATGTAATAGACAACGAACCAAGCATCGTAATAAGCCAATTCCAAATAATTCCATTCTATTCCTAGCCTATTCTTCAACCAAACATCCTGTAAAAAAGTTCACTACGTAATGTAACAGTTATGCTGCATGTATAAGTTACAATTATGAAAGGATATGTACACATTTTCAAACATCCATGAAAAAAATCTGAAAATGATATCAGAATATAAAAGGTGCATTCATGCAGTGGGGCTTTGGGGGGGGGGGGGGGGGGGGGGGTGGCGCTGAAAAATAAGATCCAGACCTTTCGAACATTAAGAAAAATATCATTGAGGGCTCCGACAGGATCACTTTTTGAGTAAGAGCATAGAGCATTGATGTTCGAGAGTAGTGTATCACAGTACAGTTCAAGCTGCAGTTCAGAAATTTGAACAGGAAGCCAATACTCAAGAAACTTGGATGTCCATTTGCTGCTGCATGAACTAAACCATGGGAACCTCTCTTTCAATTGTCCAAGAGTATCATTTGAGTGAGATTTCGAGAGATCAACTTTATCCAAATCACCATCAGAATCAACAAGTGACAGTAAGTTCGAGTACTCCGATGCAGTATGCTGTGAAAATTAGTAAGCAATGAGGAGAAAGTCTAAACAGTAAACACAAATTATTTATTAAAAAAAAGTGTAATATACAGAAGATACCTTAATTGGACCATTGAAGAGAAGCACCTTTAGCCCAGCAAGTGTCTTAATTTTCTCTATGTGAGTTGATACGTTAGAGTGTTGACACTGATCAATAACAACCACCTCCCAACTCAAGCTATTTAATACATGTATATCCTGCAGAAAATTTAAAGATATGTCAGAAGAACATGACCACATGCTGCAGATACTGTAATATTCAATGAGGTAATGTAAACCAGAATTACCAACGTTCTTTTCACTCGCTAGTCAGTAGTCACTACAAATTTGTTAACCAAGATGTGTTTGGAAGTGCTAATATTAAAAGAAAAGGTAAAAATATCAAACTATTAAGATGTACCTCAACAACAGTTTCAAGAGAGGTTAAAAGAACTTGAAGCATTATGCATCCACCTTGGCTATAAAACTCCGATGTCTCAATACTCTTTCTGGATTCCCTGCTACCATGGTAAACTACACAATCCAGAGATTGGGCCCATTTCATGAATTCAGCTTCCCACTTAGAAATAGCATGGGAAGCTGTGATGATAAGGACAGGCCAGCAGACCGTTGACAGAGATAAGATAAACAAAATTATCTTCACTATTTGTTCCTGCAAATTATATAAGATAACAATTTTTCATTTAAGGGTCTATCAAAAATGGCACCATTCCGGAGCTAATAGATTACAGAGAGAATTAGCAAGCAACTATGAAACAGCAGAAGTCACTTTATCACAAAACTTGTGGAGGTGATTACTGAATGCCATGAGGAATGTAGTGACATTGATGTTGTACTTGAGAAGGATATGATAGTGTGTGCAAAAGGTTTTCAGATAGAGCTAGAGCAATTAAAGGATGTATTGAGATGGACGGAAATGGGGGTGGGGGGACATGTTGCTGACTTCTGATGTCTAAGATGGGACCAAAAGTGCTATTAACCATAAGAGTAAAAATAGTATTTGAGTTGATGAAAGGAAGCAAGGGAAATAATACAAGAAGCTGCCCTAGAATCAATATGGCATTAATCTCCATAAAAACATTTAAAAGGATTAAAATATCCAATTACAGGTAATATCATTAAACCAAACCTGCATCTATATTACTATATACATAGCTTTGTGGGGCATTTCATATCAAAGAACTCTTATTCAAAAATGAATTCATAATAAGAATCCAAAAGGCTTCAAATGTCTAATTAAAATAGGTGATTTCATGTATGCCATGTGATAACAAATTAAACCAAAACTACATCTATTTCCAATTGATAACAGATACATTCAAATGTTCAAGAAGCACTTCACTTTGACATAAAACATTCCAATTACCAGGAAGGATCAGGAAAAATGAAGATAAAATTCAGGCAAGAAAATAATCCAAATTAAACAGCCAACTTGCCAACAAAATTCCATTAAGTTATAGAATCACAGATTAAAGCTATTGCTATAAGTTCCTCTAATTGTATGACATTTGAAATAAAAGATTTAAATTACACAATCATGTCCCATACAGCCCCCTTATGCTTTGTACAAAATTGCCGAATATTAGATTCCAATACAGAATTACTTATATACATAACAGAAACAATGTATGCATTCAACCAACCTGATCATCATAAAAAGCAGCATTCTGTGATTTCCACCAACAATCTTGTAGTTTGTTTATGGAATTTAGTATATCAATATCAGTTACAAGTGAACTTCCTGCCCAATTCTTTGAAAGTTCGACAAGAGATTGCTTATTATTCTGCAGGTATGTGCAAAGAAATACAAACAATATTAAAATGAAATCAAAACCAATTAAATGAAAAAAGGGTTAATTCTCATTCACAAGTCAGTATCATTTCTTTCAACACCAAAGCATGCCTCTCTATTTTCTACTATTTTTCAACAACAAAAATGGGTACATAAATCCCAAGTAAAACTACAGAAAAGTTCAGCCCTCTATGTACCAGTCACTCATTCTATAATATGCATCAGTATGTTTACAGCCATTCTAAAGAAGAGTGTGAGACTATGATTCAATTTATGCTGGTTGTGATTTGTGAAACATCTGCATCCAATAACCAGATAGACAAGTGTACTTGACACCAAACTTATCAAAGTCACCAAAAACATTGAGTTTGAAGCCTTAAGTTAATAGATTTACTTATTCTTCCAACAAAAAGCCAAAGAAAGGACGAATGTGCACTATTCAGCATTTCAGCTTTGATCTACCATTTCAAGCAAAAATGCTTACTTTTAAACATGGATGAAACTCTATCTAAACTGTATCAATTGATTAATAATCAACATGCAGTTTTTAATTACTGGGGAAAAAAATTCAAGGATGATAATTATTTGATAATATAATGATCCTACTAGCACCTTGTTGATTACTTGTTTTGCTTTTTCCTGCCGTATCTCATACTCCTTAACAAGGCTTTGTCCGTGAGGTGAGCATAGAAAATTAGCATTCTCCAATTCCCATGTGGCATTCTCATAATCAAGACCACGCCACTTAACAAGCCATTCGTATTGACATTCTGAATTATCACCAGCATCAAAATTATGACAATCACCTTGCAGTTCAGAGAAAGATAATAACCTTTTCTTCAACAAACGATGTGGCACTGTCCACTCAGAGTTCCAGCTAATAACCTGAATGTTGAGACAAATGCTGTTTTTTAGGTTTTCAAACAATTCAAGATTAAAAGCACCAACTAGAATTTCAGAAAACATGTTATCCAATCAACTAAGGCATAGATTCCAATGTGCAAACAATAACTTGACCTGATTATTATCATTAAAGTTTGCAACAAGAGATGGTGCTTCATGAAGCAACTGTGCTTCTGATACCCACTGGTTGTGAACATGTGCAAGACCTGTGTACTTTACAAGATACTGCTTCTGCTTATGTGTTCCTGATATGAAGGCAGAAGTAATAAAAATTCAGGAACAAAGCAATAGATTACACTAAAATAAAAGAAAAGAAAAAGTAATGAGAGTTGTCATAACTGCTGACTTCAAATTAAATGTACATAAGGAATGCTAGTCGATCAAATCTTTCACACCTGATACATCCACTTCTCTAGCATCCCAAATTGACTCTACTCCTTGTGTCACTGAGTGGACACCAGATCCAATCTTTTTCTTCAGACACCAGAGACAATGCCAGACTCCTGATGGAAGATCATGTACAGGAGTACCTAAAGAAGGGGGATGGGAGCATCTCTTGCAATCCTTTCCATTGCATAGTCTGAAGAGTATGTAAGAACACTAGTAAACAAAATGATAACAAATAAATAAATAAGAACAACAACAACAAATGCAAACGTAGGAAAAGAGAGCGAAAATGGCCCAAATCTCAAATGAATTTCAAATGACTTCATGTTTGTAGTACCTAATTTGATTAAAGGATAGCAATATTTCATCCTGGTTTCCAATTGAGAAAACAAGCAATTTGTTAAGAAATCATGAATTTGAAGGCTTAGAGGGTGGCAAAGAGCCACTACTTACTGGTAGGGTAGAACCTCTATGCGTTCAGCAAGTAAAATAATAGGAGAGGAAATAATTTTATGGCTAACTTAATAACAACCATTTACAACTTGATTGAAAGATTACAACAGCTCATATATTTATAGGCTTAAGAGGTAGCTATGGAGTCTCTTGATATTCCAACAAGTGTAATTATGAAACTATGACACTTCAACTAAGACCATGATCTTGAAATTTTTAGCGTGTGATAAACAACAAAATCTGCAGGGCCTCTTAGTTTTCTAACAGATATTAGTTAATTTTGTGATGAGAACCAGTATTATTAATGCACAAACATAAAAGTTTGTATTCTTAATGTTCAAAGTTATTATTCACCACTATGTATCTTAATGCAGAAACATAAAAGTTTACTCACAGGCCCTTTCCACCTTGTTTGCACACAGCACACACATTGTCATTCCTATCCATATGATGATCTGAAGGAGCCCCTTTGGATTGTCCACTGTTGAAGTTTTCAGCAGATCCCGAGATAATAATATCTTCAACACCAATTTCATCCTAATATGGAGTGTGTCAAGGAAATAAGTATAAAACATCTACTGACTACTGTACACAAAGTAAAGAAAAACCATGCTCTAAACTGTCCTTAAGTTCTTTCCTCCATAGAGACAGCCTATATAACAAACAATTTCTTTGCGAGAGTTTCAAATCATTAGTTCAATCCATCATATGTAAGCAAGGCTAAGAAGACATAGTGATGAAAATGCACTAAAAAGGCATCTCCATTGACAAGTAAAAGGTGAAAATATTGGTGATTATACTAAAACTCTAAAAGGAGCAAATTCAACTTAGACAAATTGACTAAGGACTTTCATGGTTCCAATGACGGGGGTATTAAGCAATTCCAACACTTATCGATAGTAACTGCACAAGATATTATACCAACTATGACATAATAAAGCTTCTATATCTGGATATGCTACAAGCTACTCCTTTTTTTTTTATTTGATAGTATCTGTGTTTAGTTAAGTGTATCTTTCACTGAACTAATAAAGTCTCGTACTATATTCATGCAGACAAAAAATATAAATGTGTATGTGTAAAGCTCATCAATCTGCAGATCTTAAGAAACTTTGTTGTGCAACCTCTTCCCTTCTCTTAGTGCAAATATCAGATGGCATTATAAACCAACCTTAGGACTAGATAATTTATCACAATCCCTATTGGATATTGCAACACATGAGCAGAGCTCAACTTTTGGCGAACCATGACCCACCCTGCAGATTTAAAAGAAAGACAAACAATAATAAGCCATACTTTAAATCTTGACATACAAAATCAAAACAATTTACAAATCAAATACATGACTAAATCTCTATATTTAGGTATCAATCAGAACCAGGAAAAGCATATAAAACTGTACCATCCAAACACAATAAAGGAAAAACAATCTTCCATTTCACATCAACCCCATTAATTTTATTTTTTTTCTATTTTCTGCCCATTCAAGATGTGAAGGGGGGTGGGGGTGGGGGTGGGAGAGAGAACCAGATTAAAAACATTTTTTGTAAATTATAAATAAATCTTTTAGCATACTGCACTTACAAGCGAAAGTACAACACGTAATCAATAATCATACACTTTCAGCCTTTTTACTGATGACACACACCAAACCCTTTAAAGAAAAATGATAAATAGCTAAAGTACAAAACATTCTATTTTGCAAACAAAATGAAGAAAATTACCTTCGCTGTTTTGAACATGCAGCACAAAACCCAGCAAAGAAATGCTTCTCATGCCCGGCTGATGGTGACCAAGCAGACCCAGAATCTTCAAATTTTGGGATCTTCAAACTTTTCATATCAGGGCAAGCCTCTAGCACACTGTTGGAGGCTCCTTCATCAAGTTGTGCAGCAAGATGGTCTGTCAATTCATCTGCGGCCTTTATATGACACTCACTGTCCCTGTTTTCTTTATCAACAAACTCCCTGTGCCTGGTGTCCCTACCAATAGCTACAGAAAATTTACGGGGTCTCTTTGACTTATTAATTCCTACAGGGGGAAAAAACATGTGCATTAGTACTTCCTCAAACAGGAAACAAATGGCATAAGAAGGAACCGCCTGTGCAATCTTTAGGCATTTCATTTTCAAAACATCACAATATTATAACTGCAGCTTTCTGATTTAAGTAGAATTGTTGTTAACATTAAGGATGACTAGTTTCAGCTTTCTCATGGACTGAAAGGAGATCAGGTTACACTCCTCCTGAAAAAAGAAACAGAAAAAGGCATACACAGGCTTTAGAGGATATCAAAAAACATAGATCATCTACCTGAAGGTGTGGCCCTTTTTCGTCGCATCTTGAGCAAAAGTACATAACTAAGGGAATTCATTCTCCTCCTTTTCTTTCCAATAGAAGACAAGCTCTGATTACTGCTAGTGCTAACATTTTCAGATTCCAGAGTTTGTTGCTTCATGCTCTTCTCTTTTTTTCGATATCTCTTCATGCCAGATGAATTGGATTCTTCCTCTGAGACATTTAACAATGAAGAACTCGGTAGAAGGTTTCTTTTGCTTCTATCAGACTTCCTTGAAGGACTAGGACTAGGAGTGCTCAATTTTTCATTTTTACCAGTTTTTCCTTTGGTAGGAGTTACAGGTGGAGTCCGGTTCTGAAGACGATCAGATTTCCGTGTAGTTGATGGGCTTGTGGTAATCTGTTTTGATGAGGTTTTCCGAGCTGACCTTCGTAATTCTAAACAATCAGTCTCTGTAGAACCTGAAATGGATGTTCCTTCTCCATCAGTCACTCTATTCTTTGAAGTATTGTCCTCATCACCCCCCACTTTACTCCTTGATCGCGTCTCATAAACCATGCTTCTGACTGTTAAACAAAATGGTACGGCCCAAATTCTTCTCAGATAACTCTTCCACATACCCAACAATACCAAAGAAATACTAATAGGAAGAGTGTGCTTACAAAATTTGCATCCATAAGCACAGTTAACCATCTAAATTTATTGTTTGGTATAAGCATCTAAATACCAAATACTTTAAAGGTTGATGCTTTTTCACAGCAAACAGTTAAACTATAACATATTGCGTTAAGTCATTAACATCTAAGTGAACTTAACTACAACAACATACTAGTAATTCTGCATGCCACTAAACACACCATTGCTAATACCTCAATCAAGTTTCAAGCTTTCATTAACTCTTATGACACATACAGAAACTATCCTCGCTTAAGGGAGAAATTTTTAAGTTTTAGACAACTTTCTACAGCTAAGTCCCACATTTAAATAAATACAGTAAATAATTGAAGAATTTCCAAATTAACCCCAAAAAACATATATTTTTTGGCATTCGTGAGCTCAAAAACAGCTAAGAATCAAGCTATGGCTTTCGCCAAGAATTTCAGATGAAATGCAGTGACTTACCTTCTTCTGACAAAGCGAAAACCCTATATTTCGGGCAAAATGCTGCTTACTTCAAAAAATAAACAATGAACATTTCCGCGAAATCTTGGGCATGCCAACCCTAATTTCATGCCCCTGAACTGTATTGAAATTCAAATATAGAAATATATACTGTAACAGAGATGAAAATTTTCTCTTTGGCCTCCTTTCTCCCTCTTCGGACATTCAAAAGTGTCTTCTTTTAAGATCAACCATTTAACTTCCAAAAATGAATTGCCAATCTTAAGCGAAAAGTACACAACTTGACTAAAGACACTAAAGTATAAATTACCCAACATGGAAAAACAACTAGATATTTAAAACTAGATATTTAGTGAATGCTTAAATTGTTACTCTAGTATTTTTCTGGTTGAAGAGAATTACAATTTCATTCTCATCTAATTCTCACATAATTTTAAAGACAAATAAATTCATTTATTTGGTTATAAGGAATTTTAATTTTGCGGAATTAAAATTTCATCATTTTTAAGGAATTATAATCATATACTCCCTCTTGGTATTTCAATTCCATAAATTTTAGGAAGAAAAAATAACTTTGATGCAAAATTACCTTTCTCTTTTTCAACCTAAATTTGATGTTTGACCTCTCTTGTTCGATTATAGCGCATGTCTTCTTCTTCTACTCTCAACATAGAACACCAATTAGTAGTCCAACCTCAACCTCAATGGATACTTTTTTTTTTTAATGTAAACCACACTGTGGTCCAAGTCTTTCTCTGTCCATTTAACAGTCCAGGTTCACCCGGTTCGCTTCGAGAGGCACAGAAACTGGCCCAAAGAGAATCGTTACTTGTGAGAATCAAATCCGAGTTATGCTCATTTGCCACTTGAACTACCCTGTTGGGTTATAAAAATATAATACTTGTCCACTAATAAAAAAAAATGTACTTCGTAATACACTTGCATTATAAAGTAGTAGTCACGTGAAACAATTATACACAAAACCAACCGTTATATTGGAAAATAAATATGATTATATTTGTGAAGTTGTCTCCATCAAACTAATTATTAAAAAAACTTTTAATATTAGTCAAATTGACCACTTGAGGTACTAAGGTTAACCTTATCCCTATAGTACGCTCTCACTTTCAAAAGCAATACATACTTCTGTTAGAGAAATAGGGTGTTAGTTGAGAGGATCTCTAATAGCCTTAGTTTTAGGTGTTTGAAATATATAGCTATGATTAGTTCTTGTCTTATATAAATAGCTCTATACTTCCTTGTACATTGACACACAGAACATATAGAAATATATACAAGATAGTTCATTATTTAACATGGTATCAAAGCCTTGAGGTGACTGGGTAGTGGGTGTTGGTCGGAAAGAGGAGGCGACGCCGGCGGGAGAGGCGGAGCAGCCACCAGAGTCCTCACGCACCGCCGCGGTCCTAGGTTTCCGACACCACGCGTCGGCGCGTGCGCAGTTCTCCGGCGACTACTCCAGTCGAGGCCGGTACCGTTGGGCTCGCCTCTGAACGCCCAGTACGTCTGCGATTGTGGTGTATTCCGGTGTTGCGAAGGTGTTTATTGGCTGTCGCGAGAGAGAGAAACCAACGAGAGAGAGAGGTAGGGTTTGTGAGAAAAAAATGGTTGAGGAGAGTGAGCAGAGGATGAAGGGCTACGTCGAGTGGTTCAGTGACCCAAAGGGGTTTGGGTTCATAATCCCCGACGACGGCAGCAAGGATCTATTTGTTCACCAGTCTGGTGTCAGCCGAGAAAGAGAGACAGTCGAGAGAGATGGTAAGGGAGGTCCATGAAGCTGGGTGGTCTGAGGTCCATGGAGCTGGGTGGTCTGAGGTCCACGAAGCTAGGTGGTCTCATTAGGCTTGTGATGCTGATGAAGAATAATTAGGCAGTATGTTCTAATTAGGCAGTAGGTTCTTTTGTTTATCGTATTCGTATTAATAAGTCTTGAGCATTGTATTTTGTTTATCATAGTTTGTCGCTTTAAGTTAATTTGGTATAGGAGCAGTTCTAAGGTCTGAGTTGAGTCAAGTGCAGGTTGTTCAGTGTGCGTAAACAGGGGTGCTGCAGGAGTGGGGCGGACCTGGCATATGCCGCAGGGGAGGGCGACGGCTGAAGAATGATTCATAGTGAATCAGTTTACGTGCATGCACCAGGGAAACGTTGTAGTGTTAGGCAGCATTGATAAGGGTGCATGGTGAGAGGGACAGGTGCACTGTGGTCTAGCAGCGCTAATGGTTTGTGGAGTGAGAGGTAGGTACGCTGTGGTGTTAGGCAGCGATGATAGGGTGTGGGGAGTGAGAGGCAGGTGCGGCGTTGTGGTGATTGGCCTAGCTTTTGTTGGCTCCGTAGAAGCATTGTTGATGCGACAAAGTGCGTTGTGGACTGGTTTGGCACAGCGTGGTTCGAAGGTTGTTCGAGTGGTTCAAGACTTGGGCTTATGAGTCTAGGTGTGGAGTCCTATGGTTCATGTGATACATATGTAACAAGTTGGATGCTCCAACTTGAGGGGAAGTGTTAGAGAAATAGGGTGTTAGTTGAGAGGATCTCTCTTAGCCTTAGTTTTAGGTGTTTGAAATCTATGGCTAGGATTAGTTATTGTCTTATATAAATAGCTTTCTACTTCCTTGTCCATTGACATACAGAACATATAGAAATATATACAAGATAATTCATTGTTTAACAACTTCTATTTCATCAATTTTGTAATTTACACACTATATTTATAATTCCAACTCACTTTCAAAAGTGACTTATACTTTCACATCACACCCAATAATAATAATAATAATAATAATAATAATAATAATAATAATAATAATAATAATAATAATCTATATATATATAAAAGTAAAATCCTCCTAACAAATTTTCCCCCCAAAACTTTTGTAGTAAAGTTTATTTGGTAAGTAAATGTCAAATGGAAATTAAATAAATCTATTAATTGTTATATTACATAATTGGTAATATTATGTATAGTATTATATTCTATAATATAATTGAAAATATTATTGTTCAAATATAATAAAAATCTTATAAAATAATGTAAGCATAATAAAATAAACAAAAATAATAATAATAATATAAAAACCATATAAATTTTCCCCCAAAACTTAGCGGCATTTATATAATATCCTAATTTTCTAATTTAATTAATTATCAAAATATTGAAATTATATATTATATATTATTCATTTATGTGTAGACATACTTATTACTGTATATAAAGTAAATTAGGTAAATATATTCTTCAAATATAAATTAAGTATCTATATATAATTTTTTGGTAAGCAAATGTAAAATTGTAACTCCAATTTTAATTGGTAATTGGTAATTGGTAATATAATAAAAACCATAAATGTTACCCTTAATCATATCTAAAAACCATAAATGTTACCCTTAATCATATCTAAACACCTATATATACATCACATTCTCTTCAATACAAACAGTACCAAGTTACGAAGAACCTAAGAGAATATTCTCTGCAACTGCATAGCAATGGTGTAGAGAACATGGACCTTCAAGAAGAGGAGGAACAAGACCCATATTCTCTGCGTATCCAGAAGAGCTGTTGCACTACACCTACACATTTGGTAAATCTCTGTATCCTTTTTCAACTCTTTTTTTTTTTAATAAAGAATAGAAAATCATATATACCATTGGTGAAATTTAAAATCTATCTACATATATTATATAAACTATGATTATATTGATCATATATATCATCTGATCTTCTTCATCATTAATCTGGACGAGTTTGCTCAACCCATTAAAAGGTATTTCTCTAATACCTTATCTCAATCCATTAAAAGTTGTTTATTATTGGACTCTGGGCAAGATTAAGTAATGCACTATTCATAGTGATATAAAAAAAATTGACCATTTGATTATTAGTGGACTCTGAGCAACTAGATCTGCAGGTCATTTGCATGAGAGGGGACATCATTGAATGAGTTTGGACTATTAATATTTTTTTTCCTGATGTGACGGTCCTTCCAGCACCAATAGGAGTAACACAAGAATTTGGAGCCATGGCAATGTGTTGAGGATCGTGAGTAGTGCTCCTTGACAAAAGCCTAAAGCAACAGCATATGAATATGATAGAGATTTAGTTATTTTAATTTTTATTGATAAAAGATTATTCTCTAACCAAACAATTAGTAATATTTACGATTTATTGAACCAACCTTCATATTTTTGGTCAAATGAGTACACATGATGGAATTATGTTCATTGCACGGAATCTTAATATTCATTGAGTTTCCAAATTGTATATTGCATAAGAATTATTTTACCATAATATGAATTGTAACCAATTTAATAAATCTAAATATTAACAAGTATGTATGGTAATTTTATGTATGTTAATATTATTTCATATGGACGTAATACTATAATATGATTTATAACCAATTTAAGAAATCTATATTGATAACCAATTCAAGTATGTATGGTAATTGTATGCATGGTATTAAAAATAATAATTACGTATGGTATTATATATAGTAATATTAGGTATGATATTATGTAATACGTAGTATTAATTAGGTTGTACATTTATTCTTTTCATATTCTCATATGGACGTAAATCCATAATATGGTATATAACCAATAACCAATATGGTATATATATATATATATATATATATATATATATATATATATATATATATATATATATATATATATATATATATAATTTTTCACTCCTTATTATAAAATTATTATAAAATAATAATTCAATAAAAGTTTTATATAAGTAAATAATCTGTAATATTTATCTTAAGTATAATTTGTCAAATTAATCAATTTTAATTTGATAATGATTATTTTCTAACCAAAAAATTGGTAATATTTATGATTTATTGAACCAATTCATATATGTTTTTTATCATCCAGACTAATTTTAATGGTCAAATTAATAATAAATTTTATTAGTTATTAATTAGCATAATATTAATTTATTATGCATAATTACTGTATAAAAATAAATTGCCGTTCAAATGAGTACACAAGATGATATACATGTTCATTGCATGAAATCTTAATATTAATTGAGTTGTCAAATCGTATATTGCATAAGAATTATTCTTACTTTACTATATACAATTACATATTTATTCCGAAATTCTGAAAATTAAATAAGTTAGAAATCTAATTTTAAGTATGCATTTCCTGTTTTTTCATTTTTAATTTATACAACTAATTTATTAATTTATATACACAATTTTTTGCTACTTTTAATAAAATAATTCACTACATTTTTTT